ACGTCTCCGATGAGATAGAAAGTGTATCTTTACACTAGCCCGGCCAACGTGTCTGGTAAGTTACCGCGCTGTATCGTATCGTATCGTATCGAATGATAGACCGTGTTCCCCTCAGCGAGGCGTGGGGTTGTCTGTCAAGCAAATACTTCCGCTAGAACAGAGGGATTTTGTGCCCCTAACGGCCCTCGGACGGAGGTCCTAGTCCATGCTCCGAAGGCTTGCCAGCCGAGCCGAAGCCAAGCAGCGAGTGACCCCCTATGAACCCACAACGCCAAACCCCACACTGAAATCAGTTCTGTCCAACTATGAAATAATATTCCATAGTACACCGAACCAGTCCGGTCTGAACCCCCCCCCCCCTCTTCCTCCGAACAGCCCTTATATTATTTTTCATTTCGTACAGTAGTCCTTCGGCAGCTATTGGATACCGGATCGTGACTGACCGGGAGCACGCCAAAAAAAACATACCAAGTGAACAGGGGCATGTTCAGTGACTGCAGCTCTAGCATAGGCGTGTATTTAGTCCGGTACAAGCAACTCTGTATTAGATCAAGAACTATCACTATCCTTAGACCAGTCTTATACAATCCCACTCATGAGTGTCGCCTCTTAGCCCTCCTCCTCGTACAAATGAGGAATTCACTTCTCCGTTCTAGAGGATCGGCCGCTGGTAAGCAAATACAAGTACCTTACCTGCTCTGTAGCCGTTGTGTGGGTAGTAGGGCATTTCGATTGAGAGAGGCATCCCCTTTGTCCTTGGACACCTTTCTTCCTTGTCAAGTGTGTATCGATAGCTAATGGTGACTGCCAGTTACTACTACGATAACTAGAGAAACCACGATATTGTCGGAGAGGAGGTGTGAAGCATAGTAAAGCGCAAGCCTACTTTCGGTGAATGAGGTCCTGGTATAGAAGGGGGGTTGGTAAGAGATTTTACGACTCACACTCTTCCCCCACCCACGCCTAAGATTGAGGAAATACGGTTGGCGGCATAGAGCAGCATTATTCTAGTTGATGATGGCGGCGATGGTAGTAGTGACCGCTTCAGACTGAGATCAAAAGGGTACATTACCAGCCATACCAGAGGTACCGGAGCCAAGATGATAACAATCCACGCACTGCAATAATTTTAGGTTGCGCATAAAAGCAAGAGAAGCACATCCGGCGATTCTACCAAAAAAAACAATCTCGGTGGATGGCGGGATGTAACTTTGTGTATTTCCCATCGTTTTCATTACACCTCAGTGTGCACAAAAAGGAACCTCTCCGAGCGCAGACGAAATTGGGAATACCAAAGCCTCTCTTCTCAAAGAATTTTAGTCTAGTCAAACAATCCGGTATACAGCCAGCTACTAGAAATATATGAAGCCCAAGTTCCATCACCACCGAAGAATTTTCTCCCTCCTTTCCTGTATACATCCACAGCTCTCCACTTCACCTTATTCACTCAAAGGGAAGGAAGGAACTTGAAGTTTCCTTGCGGCAGTTTTCCCTCTCTCCTCGTCCCCGCAAAGCGCCGGTCGCATCATCCGCTCGACTCCTTCCATTCTTCTACACTCATTTGCGACCGCTGATAGTCTTTCATTTCCCTCCGGAACAAGAGGGCATATATCTCTCTCTCTCTATCTCTATCTCCACGGATTTCAGGTGATCCCTCGGCCGTCTTTTTTATATACACAAAAGAAGTAGATCTCTCAACCCCTCCTTTCTTCCCTTTATCTTTGGAAAAAGTTGGATATAATGGGACCAGAACTTTTGATTCCGGTGCTTGCGTCTTTTCTGTACTTGCCTAGTAGGTGTCTTTCCGTCTTCCCCTTCCCTCTCCATCTAGTGGTGTAAAAAAGCTAACGAGTGATACTATAGGGCCAAACTTGGCCGCACCACTGCCCAACCCCGTTGCACAAATGATGGACTTTGGCCAGCAGGGGTATGGGGATGGTGGGTTCGGGGATGGCGGAGGGTATGGCGAAGTCGAAGGTGGTGGTGGGGGCGCTGATAACCGATCCGGTGCCGGCTCGATGTATGAGAGTGTTGATACAACTGCGGATGCGGCGGCGAATATTGATATTGATGCCGATACCGAGACTGATGCTGATTCTGATGCGGGCGAGTCCGGTGTAACGCTCGGATATGATAGTGCTGGGGTAGGCGCTGATGCTGCTGCCGACATTGACGCTGACGCTGACGCCGATGCTGATGCCGATATGGATATGGACATGGATATGGACACGGAGGGGGACTACTATTACGACGGAGAGTAATCAACGACAGCACCAAAAATCCCCTTACTTCCCCTTTCCCTCATCTCCCCCCCTCCCTCCCTCACACACGCACTCACTCTCCCTTCATTATAACCACAACTACTCGGAAAGAATCAAGACACACCTCAGGAGTGGACCAAACCATTCCCCTTTTCCATTAAATTCGGCCCCATTGCATGTATAGTTCATCCCCCCCTCGTTTCCCCCTTCCCCAAGCTTTTCGTTCTGTGCCTTATTATAAATCATATCATACATTATGTGGGGATAGACCCAGGAGGGGTATGATAGAGCAAAATTAGCAGTCATATGAAATCACTCGATTGATGCCCGACGTCATCTTTTTGGCCCAGTTCCCCTAGCTGCCTCGCGCTCCCCCAACCCGCCTCACGGACCCTTTGCCGAGAACGTGACTCACTATCCGCGGGTTTCAAACGCGAGGTCGTTCATCCCCTCCATCTTTTCCTAATCTCTTTTTCGTGATCACTGGATAGGACCGGTCATCTTCCACAATTAATACCCTAGCGCCCGGGATTTGGAAAGGGTTGCGGTGAAGCTTAGTGGCGCGAGGTCTGCGGTTTGGAGCACTATGCCAAGCATGCTAGAGAGGATGTCTATCCGCCGGGGGAGTGTGATCCTAGATGAAGGAAGGGGAGGGGGGGCTCTTTTCATTTTTCATAAGATGTTAAATGAAGTGTTCTGTTATCTAGAGTTAGAGTACAACTTAGCGCTCTTTGGGGGAGTGTCGCGAACCGCTTACTTCACTACTTGTACGCAACGATGAAATGTGTGAGAGTCCATATACGTTTTTTCGGCAATATTAGCCCTGAACTACAGCCCAAAGTGTCTAGCCAATATATCACACCCTCTATCGTCCGCTTTTTGCGAAAGGGGGAATCCGTTTAATGTGATCCTTTGGAATTCCGGCACTGGCACCCTGTATTTTGTGAACCTAGCCATATACATGACACAACATTACGCACACAAATTTCAAGCGCCTAATTTCGGACAAAAGTTCCTCCAAACGCTCTGCGCAGAAGCCTAAACATGTCAATTCTGTCCTCCTACGCGAGGGAGACTCATATTTGACAAAATTCTGATCAAAAGCCTCCGAATTTCACCACCTTCTGCATTGGCAGCCTGGTCCCGTCGTCCCCATAACCACTCCGTATAATCTCCGAGGTGTCAACGATAAAATTGATGCCCTCTTTAGCCGTTCCTTGTGTAAAAAAAACGATTCTATAACACTATCTTGCCAAGTCCTGAAGCGAAAAAACGTGTAAGTGGATAGTAAACCCTCCCAGTGTCAATATTGTTTGAAGTCTATAAGGGCCATTCATCACGAGAACTAAATTTATAATGAGTATTCCCAGTGCTCACCGCAGCCGAGCCCCTACGAAGAGAATTAACTCTACTACAAACTTGGTTAACAAGCCCTTGCCCATCCTCGCCTTGTGGAGCAATTCCAAAATCGCGATTATTTCTCCAACAGGTCTATAATTTACCACTGTTCGCCCTATTCCTGCCAAGCCAAAGGCGAGTGAGATTCATGACTCACGCCCTCTATTCCGTCGAGAGATCCATCAATAAGCATTTTCTAATTTCTCACTTCGAGAAATTTCCCTTTCCCCGTTAGCTCGCTCAGTCCGATCAACTGCTACTGTCAATACAACGGCAATTCATCCATTGTGTCTGGACTCCCCCACGACCGCAGACCCCCAGGGCCCAGAACAACCCTCCCATTGTCAACGCACACTCTGACTCGCCGGCGAATTGGCCTCTGCTCAGAAACGATCCTCTCTAAAGTCCACTCGCTGAACGGAAATTTCTGTGCACTAGATATTAAAGCAAGAGATCCACTCAAACCCCTCACTTAACCAATCAGGCTCTGGGTCCTAAACTATCCAGAAAGGGGACCATAGACAGCACTTTATTTAAGTGCTCCTACACAAAGTATACCCTGGATAGCCTTGTTAGCAATAATAACGTCTCCACCAGGCATTGAACAGATGGGGGCATGCTGCATCCCGTCAAGGATCGGATCCCTCGACCTCGCGGCCCAATCATAATATCCTCCCCCTCACTACCAGTCTTTGTGATATCCTTCAAATTAACCCATCCCGTGCACCAGAAAGCTCGCATCGAGCTCGCTAATACTCGACATAATCGAGTGCAGCATGCATACCGCACTTGCTAAAAGGGATATGTATATATACGCATTCACCAATTCCCAGTCGAGCCCACGACAGGAATAGCTTCCTTGGGTTGATCGATCAAGTCTTGATGAGGGCCATTGCGCCCGCAGTAATCATCTCTCTTGTCCCTGCGCAAAACTGGCGTAGGCGTTGGCGTCATAGCCCATCCTTCCCGTTCATGCTTTTTCCTCAGACACCCCCGACCTTTTCCAGGACCTGTTCGAGGGATACCCGCCCCCGCATATCTGCCCGAACGAGCCCAACGGGTAAGTGACCAAGTGTCAGCACCTCAAGGCCATTCGCAGTTGGGAGCAGGAAGTGAACCCAGCAGCACGGGGGTACCAGCTAATCCCTCTCCACCCTCAGCAATGGCTCGGCCAAGTGGGTTGGTAGAAACCCTGTTTGCGTAAACAACCTTATTACATTCTGATATCAGGATCCGCGGCACTGAGGAGCAACCCAGCAGAAACATGGGATCGGTCCCAACGGGAAGACGAATCGACTCCTTGTGGGCAGGCCTAAGACCAAGTGTTGATTTCCGGCGGGAATCTGAGGATATAAAATTCTTCATAACCTTGAACCCGTATTTTGGACACAACGTGAACGTTGGTGGTAGCGGAGCAAGCCCCGTAGGTGCCGGAATCGTGTCTTTCGGACATCGCCGAAGCATATGCATTCGCATACAATCGCAGTTTGGCAGATCGAAAAATTCTAGAAGCCAAAGAGGGGGGTTAGCCTTGAGCAATTTAGACACGATAACTAAGGAACGTCAAGATGGAGTGACGATGATCAATACCGGTGCACGATACCAGCCGGTACTAGGCGCTGTACGATACAACTTATGTCAAAAGCTTGACTTGATAATCTACCTGATTAGCACTTTTCTTCTTTTTGTCCTAACCCCTAAGGCCATCAACGAGGCATTCTTAGCAAGCAGGGCAAAATGGCAAGATGAATAAAAAACGAGAATCGAGAGGGATTAACGGATATCCCCGACCTCATCGAAAATACAAAGGGGTGTCTGGATCTCCACATCTTCAGGAACTAGGTGCTATTTGGCCGGAGGTCTCAGACCAGCCAAAATGGGCAAATCGATTTCCACTCCCTCGGAGTCCCGAAGGGCATTTGCTAGTAATGCATAGAGACCTAAGGTTAAGTTGCATAACCAAGTTGAAGGTTAACAAATTCCACATCAACCAGGTTTCTAAGGGCCTGTTTGGCAAAAACGGGGGGAAGGACAACCGTTTCGTTCTGTGACAATCTTACCTGTAAAAACGGTTGTCTCAGAGTTTTTGTAACGGAAGGCAACGGGTCATCTGTATGCGGCAACGGAACGGAACGGTCCCACCCAAACAGGCCCCAAGATAATCGTGAGGTTAGGTTGTGAGACGGCGTGACGTACTAAGTACTGTACCGGTATGTTATGATATGAAGCCCCACCATGATAGTCTACGGAAAAGCTTCCAACCACAATGGGACACAAACTAACAACCACAACCCGCTATCTCAGCCACAGTAGAACAAGCAACAATCCAGCAAAAACACAGATATTACACTTAAGACGAGTATCAACTATCTTTTCTAACATTAGCCCCTACGCCCATGCCATTGTTCAAATATTGTTCTGGTTCGAGCTAGAATAGCCACGAAGGGGAGATGGCAAGTGATATACCGGTAGCACCACGCGCCAGAGACCTCCGCAAAGCCCGCTGGGCGAACCTCCTAATTCACCAAGCCAAAGAAGAAAGTAGAATAAAGTTAAAAGGACCCCCCCCCCATTCCTTATGAACCAAAGAGAAAAGGAAAAGATTTAAACGTTAAAAAGGCAATGAAATCATAAACTCCCTAGTAAAAAAATATATATGGCAAGAAAAGTTTTATCCTCAGGGCCCACTAGAACGTCTTCAACCGTCTCGTCCAATCTTCCTCAGTGGCTCTCGCTTTCAACTTTGACGGCTGTCCATCGGGGCATCCCTCTCTTTCTAACCTCATGTTGAGGATCAGCTTGATTTCCGGGCACCAGTTCCAGATTTTATCACGCTTTTCCTTCTCATCCCAAACGCCTTCGGGGAGGCGTGCTCCGCTCCATCCGAGATGATAACCCATGGGTTCGTCGTGCCAAACCTGTTCTACAGAAAACTTCTGTTCGGTCGTACCATTGGCCATCTTAGCACCCGGAAGAAGCTGAAGGCGTTGGACCAGCCAGAGATCCTCAAGGGCGCCATCGTTTTCGGGACGGTGATCGTTTTCAAGAACTTGGATAATACGACTGACACGACGGATCGAGAGTCCACCGTTGCCACCAAGACCATCGCCAGGTCCCCTGTATTAATGTCAGCAACCGTACTTGCAAGATGGGTTGGGTCCTGCTGAGCGTACCAAGGAGCTCCAACGTAATCGTAATCGAGCCAGGAGTTAAGCGAAACGCCACTGTTTGCACACATGATGCTGTCTGTTTGAAAAATCAAAACCCATTCGACTTGAGTACGCTTGGTCTCGCTCCCATCAGGGCCCGTGATCATTTGATCAGTATAGGGGTCAGTCCAATCCCAGCTAGATTTCCCACCAACCCACTTCCAGAATTCGATGTCGGTCATAGTCCTGGACAGCGGCTCCTGTCCCTTGACGGACCACGTGTTAGGAAGAACAACCATCTCGAGCTTTCCCCTAGCCTCTTGTCGTTGCACACCCAGAGACCTGTTCAAAAACTGGATAGAAGCCTCAGAACCGACAAACTGGAATTTCCAATCCTCTGGTACGACGGAGATCATGTGAAGAACAAGAGGGGCAAGGTGAACGACGGGGCGATCCTCAATAAGCAAAGCGACCTTGGATTCGTTGAACTTGGGGGCAGGGGGCTCTTCATGAGGCTTCTGGACCTCCGCTACCGGCTCGGGGTTGCAAGTGACATTTGGGAGAAGGTCAGGTGAAACACCATTCGCCGAACCCGGAAGATTAATGCTCGAGACAGTCTTTGCTGCAGACGGTCCGAAAAGAAACAGGAACCATCTGGAAAAGTAAACAATCAGACCCAAGCAAATAGCGACCGGCCAAGAAGGGGGGGGAAAGGGCTGGGGAGGAACTCACAAGGCAAAAATAGATGCGGTACCGATGATTAAAATCTTCTTGCCGGCTGTCTTGAATGGAAGATGGTTTGAAAGCCAGTTGTATTTCTCGTGTGCATGATCCATCGTGGTGGGGAGGGAGGAGCGACCCTCAAACAAAGATTAGCGAAAATGATCAAGTGAGCCTTAAACTCGTAAGTCGGACCGCGGGGGGCGAAAGCTTCACGGCGACAAGATATTCAGCAGCCGAAGACAGGAATCAAGGGCGGAGGGGTCGGGTAGAGGAAAAACAAGAGTTCGCTTTCAGGATGGGCCCGCCTGGGGTTTGTTCAAGTTCTGACGTTCAAGAGTTGTGGGAGGAGAATAGGAGGGTTGGAGGATTAAGGGGCTTCCCTCGGGCCCAAATAGAGCCAACAGAACAAAGTACTGCAGTGACACGAGCGAGACCGGGGGCAAAAGGACCAGTTGTACCAGTACTATACTCGCGCCCACTGCCCAGCGCCGTGCCGGCTGAGAAAAGAGCACTCCAGTAAAATCTTTGCGTGAGGGGGGAAAAAAAAAGGCAAGGTAGAAATGGAAAGAAAAAAGCAAGAGAAGTGAGGATATCACCCAATTCTTTCAAAACCCAAAATTAGAAGAGGATCAACTTCTGGCTGATTTTGGATATTTTTTTCTCTCAGAAACACTGAGAGGGCCTTGCAGCTGAGGATCGCTCCAGATCGGGAGTGGAAAGTCACGGAAATAGTATTCGTGCTTTCAAAAACCCCCAGAACGGAAGCTGTCTGCGGGGCCATGCTGAGTATTACGCTCTGAAGGACCGGGTGTACGGCGAAGACCCGGCATGCTTCCCTCGCCAAGAGCGAATTATAAGTAAACACAACTCTGAGAAGAAACAAAAAGGCTTATCATTATCAACCTTTAGGAAAGCTACCGTACCGCATCGTTCAGTACCGGTACTTGTACTGTACCGGTACTTGTAACAATGAACCAGCACTCAAGACTGTTACGGAGCTCGAGGACAAGTCCGACGATTTGGGACATTTCAAAAAAGAAAGGGGAAAAAAAGTGCCAAATGGCTCTAATTCCCCAGAAAACCGAGAGCTGACCTGCATACCCTCGTTCTCATCACAATCAACGCCTTTGCTCGAGTATGCCTGTGGTGTGTTCATCTTACAATTCCAACCGCATTCCGGCAGGTTAACTCACCAATCACCCCTCCAAACAACACAGACTCCCCCGAATTATCAAGACAATGCCTTTTCATCCCCCCCCGGCCCCAGCTTACCATACTACGATACCGGTAACCGAGCTCTCGAGTATTTAGACTGCTGTTGAAACCCCTGAGCGGGGGGGTCTCGAATTCAGAAATCCCAACGATAACTGGGCATAAAGAGGCTGCAACCTAGCATTGTTTCACATTAACCGCTACAACTGTAGTAGCGGTACTCGAGTACAGTCAGTGCAAGTACCTGTTCTGTGCCCTGAGGCCACCGGAGGGAACAGTGAAACTCTCGCCTACCGCCGAAAATTTCTACGAAAAAAAAGGGTTGGTATACTGAGTACTATTACCGTATCGTACCGGTATCATACAGGTCTGCCGCAGGGTAAGATTACCCGTGTTCTCCCTCCCTCTGTGAATTCCGGAGATGGGGAGTGCCGTACCGGTACTGTACCAACCAACCAACCTGCGGCTCATAACGGAAGTGAAGAAATTCCCAAAGCATAAGTTACTGGGTGAAAGTATTTTGAGTAATGCGCTGGTCAGCACTGCCTGCGTTTCCTTCGGGTGGGGTGACGCACCTTATGCAGAGAACTGGAGGGGGGCTGAGTTTCCGCGCCCGGGAATCCGGGCTTCTGCCAGTGACAGCGGACTCTAATTCTGGAAACACCCCTAAAAATCATCCACAGAGTGCCAGATCACGTGGTTTCTGTGACATGACTTTATGTATCTGAGGAAGCCCCAACTGTTCCTTTGTTGCTTTTCAGATCCGGCCACCGTCTACGCTACCCTGTCGGACAGAGTGGTCCATAAGAGAAGGCAGGCTGGCAGGGGTTATGTTGAAGGACGTACCGGTACAGGTACGGTATTGCACATCGGTAGTACGGTTGGATGTTCACTTGGATTTTTCTCGCTGACTTGCCGTGGGATTGTGTTAGTCTATTGTCAGCTCGCTGGCAAAATGGAAGGTCACTACCGGTACGCATTTCCTGGCACGATTGGTCACTCGATTTGTATCCCGAATTAATGCGGCAGTCGACCGATAAAAAGCATTGTTCTAACGGTACCGTATGTCACCGAGAAGATCCGAGCGAATCCAACATGTATTCGTAGCCTCCCTCCCACGGAAAATATATAACCACTACCCCTTCACCACTTCTCTACATAAGGCCTGACATCCAACTCCCAGGTGAACGTCGTCCTGGGCTGTGTGTGGAGATGCCAGTACGCATCCGCAATCTTGCCATGGCCGACCGTCAGCTCTCCTCTTCTATCCCGTATATTTGGTGAGACCAGACTCACAGCGTCAGGGCTAATCTTCGCATCCTCATCGTCAAAAGTCCATTCCTTCGTCCCCGGAACGTCAATAATTCCATCAATGATAGCGTGGGAAACATGCACGCCCTGAGGGCCGAACTCCTTTGCAAGACCTTGGCTAAGCGCTCTGGTGGCCCATTTCCCCGCTGCAAAAGCGGTGAAATTAGCTGAAGCTTTCACCGAAGCCGTAGCTCCGGTGAATATGAGCGTAGGCGGATACTCCAGGTGCTTCGACTCGAGGAGAAGTGGGATGGTAGCCTTTGAGAACAAGAATGCTCCCCGACTACCGGCGCCACGCGTTACAGGGCTCTGGTGTTAGCATCCTGATGAAGACAGGAAAACGTGCGGTTGCATCCTAATTTAACGCACCCTTGAATCCCCAAGACCCTTTCCCAATCATCTAGTGCTGTCTCGAGGAACGGTGCTCGGTTCCAAGACCCTGCATTAAACACCGCGGCGGCTGTCGGAGACCCTGGGTACTTGGCTTTGATAGCTTTGAATGCTGCTGTTACGCTTGCCTCTGAGGATACGTCCGTTGGAATACCGTATGCTGCCCCGCCGCTAGCCTCCACAGCTGAGATTACTGGGTCAATGGAAGCGGACGACCTAGAGAGAATTATGACGTTGTAGGCCCTGGAGAAGCGGTGGGCGATAGATACACCAGTTCCGGTGCCGGCACCGGCTATGATCGCGAGGGGTTTGGTGGACATTGACATCGGAATCTGAATTAATATTGAGACTGAGATTGGGAGGTTGTAGCCAGAAAAGCTTTTTGATAACCCCACTCCAATTCTGGGGTTCGGTCGGCTTATTTATTTCGAAGATATGCATACCAAGTGCTCGGGGATGGTAATGTGTGACGCCATAATCTTCGCGGAAGGCTAGCTGATTACAAACCCATATCACCCATCAGTAATCCTGCCCTCTCGGCCGGGACAGTTGTTCATCGGCAGTGCCAGCACCAGTACTCATATCATACGGTACTCGTGGGGTATTTAATCAATTAATTCGACTGCGCAAATTTCCGGCTGCATTCGCCATCTACGGCACTGTGCCGTAAGGACTAGAATAATTACCTCACGCCGGGAAGTTGGATTTCCCCCCTTAGCACCTATAAGGTCCTGTCTTGTACGAAAACATGTCGCCGGGCAGTTATATTGTGTTGCAATCCAATTCAAGGGTTGCGATACCGTCAGAAACACCCCCAGTAAGGTGTTGGGGGGGGTTCCTCCTGTTGAATTCTATCCTTGATAGGGATATATATATACAAACCAGAGACCCATTGGCTGCGTCACCGGAGCTGTCAAAGCAATACGCTATAACCCACCCTTAGGCTAACTACACACCCGATAGTACAGTATCGTGTTCGAACATGTGCAGTTGGGGTATCATAGATTTTATATGCTCTTATCGATTGGCAAGTTAGTTCCTAAATAATCTAGGCCTACAGCTATGGACAAATCCAAGGGGGGCAGTTAGCACGGCTTGACAGAGGCACGTCCTAAGGCACCTTGAGTAGGAATATGATGTCCCGGTAACGGTACCCGAGTGTGGGAAGCACGGTACAGTACTTGTAACACCCCGCGGCTTCACACCATTGCTGAAGCCGTAGGAACTAGACTAGATCGATCCGCTAACTTTCCAGCTTCCCGGTATTCCGGTAACATACGGGTGATTTCTCCACAGAAATTATCTAAACAATAGATCTGGGTGTAACCTACTGGCGTTTACATCACTTCTATGTTTGTGCAGAGCTATTGTTTGTTTGGTATGCTGGATATCAAGGTGGGGTGCTGTAACGGACCACTGGTAGTGTCCTGGGGTGTCATATTTTATTCTTCTGGTGGTTATCGCAGGCTGAATCGGGTTAAACGAATCTCGATCGTGAGAGACGGGTTACCTGTACGAGACTATGCTTCAGCCCACCGGGAAGTGTTTTGGCCTAGTGAAGGTGGTCTCCGCTTGACTGAGCACCGGTAGGTCACCTTACTCGTGGGATCTTCCGCGGGGAAAGGGAAAATGGTGGTGCCCAAGCGGGCAAGAGGATGAACATATAATACAGCACTGTACTCGAGTACTTAGGGTCTGTTCAGCGGCGCTAGGAATATCAAATCGCAGATTTCGAAACCAAGGATTACCAGTAGTCACGCTGGGGGGGGGGGGGGAACGAGTTACGGTTCAAGTAAATCTTGGGTGTGTTCAGAAGAGAGAAAACTGGACAAAAATTGTTGTGAGATCCAGCACTGCTACCGTACCCTATTAGCTGCCAGTGGGTGGGGAGTTGACCGTGCAGTAAGTCTAGTGAGTTTCTTATCCCCTTGGCCGCTGAGACATTCCTGGCCCTTTTAAACCTTTGTGCACAAGATTTATTTGAGAAATGGGGGCATTGTAATCTAGGAATACGAGTACTAGTACTGTAACTTGCAGGTGCTCCGGTGCGAGTACAGTATGGGACAGCGCAGGAATTCTCTTGTATATCCTGGCCGTTCTGAGCGGTACTGATTTTGCGGTATTCTGAGCACTACACCTCTTCGGAAACTCAAAGTTTTTCCCTGTTCCTATCACGATCCCTCAAACAGGCCAGTGTTCAACACCTAATTTAAACTGGGCCGAATGTCTCGGTGTCGGGGGGATACAGTAGGGACCCTTCTAGGATCGCGACTCTCACACCACGAGCTTCCACTCAGAAGATAGGCACCGCAGACAGGTATCGACCGATCCGAACGCAGGGGCTCGCCAATTCTCGCGACTCGGGTAACTCGCGGCGGCGGAACAGATAGCGCCGGTAAGCTCAGCCACCGCAATCATTCGCAATTTCTCCCCTTGCGCGGAACGTCACCCAGCCCGCGAGGTTCCAACCACCAACCTCCCAAGGTTCCACCCGTCAACAGGTACGTAACATGTTTCCGAAAGGTTCGTTGCTAAAACCTACCGCTTAACTGGTCCTTTTTTCGCGTCGCTTCCCCATCCGGGTTCTCACTCCTGTGATCGAGCTAGAACCTCTTTGGGGCACTTGTACCGGCAGTCTACTACCCGTAGTAGTGTTGCCCCCCCTAAAGGATCCGAGAAACATATCCGTACCTCACACACCCAAAGGCCTTAACAAACACCCGGGAGTGTTTTTATACGCCATGCAGCTCTCAGCACTTTTGTTCACTCAACTCCCGCAATACTTACTCAACCTCACCAATCCCTCTGCTACTCCTCTGTCCGCTTCTATCACCAATCCAAGCTTGCCGATATTGCCTGAGGATATGGCCGAGACAAGGTTTACTCTTCCGGCTTTGCCGTATGCTTATGACGTGAGCTCCATCTCATTTGATTTTAATGTGGGGCCCTTCGAGAGGGTGGGGGGGGGGTCTCTTGGATGGCGTTGAGGGGCTGGGTTTGCTCTCGAGATCTCGCGGGAGCTTGTTTGGATGATTGTATTCTATCATACGGTTGACGGATGCGATTTTCCGCAGCTTGAATAGTTTTCCCAATTTTTTTTTGGATTTGGAAAGCGGGACTCAAAGAACCCTTGTGACTTACAGCGCTCTGCAGGCGTTGGAACCTTACATCTCGGGCCAAATTATGCGGATCCATCACTCCAAACATCACCAAGCCTATGTCAACAACCTCAACGCTGCCGCTGCAAACCACGTTAGGGCCCTTCAAGAAAATGACCTTCATGCCCAAATTAATCTCCAGCAGGCTATGTACTGTACCTCCCGCTTGTTTGCCCGTGGGAAATCCCATACTGACTATGCAACAGTAAATTTAATGGAGGCGGACATATCAACCATTCTCTATTCTGGGCCAATCTCACACCGGCCAATACATCCCAGGCCAAACCAGAGTCGGCACCTAAGCTTGCGGAAGCGATTTCGGCCAAGTACGGAAGCTATAGTGGGTTCAAGGATGAGTTCACGGGCGCGCTCCTGGGGCTACAAGGCAGCGGGTTCGTGCGCGAAAGCTCATGTCTAGTGCTAATGACATCTGTTTGATTAGAGTTCTGATATTTTGGTGAATAGTTGGGGCTGGCTCGTGAAAAACAAAAAGACCGAGCAACTCGGCATAGTCACCACTAAGGCTAGCCCCCTATAGGCTTGGATCTTCCTGATGATCACTAATGGATTTGGGAGATAGGACCAAGATCCTGTTGTCGGTGATCTCGCGCCTATCTTTGGTATTGATATGTGGGAGCATGCGTACTATCTTCAGGTGACAATTGCCTCTGTCATTTGGGCTCTAGGACTAATGAAAGCAGTACTTCAATGACAAAACCTCTTATGTTGACGGGATCTGGAACATCATCAATTGGGATACCGCCGAAGGAAGGTACTTGGACCGTTGCGGAACGTTGAAATTGTAGGCACTAGCGGATTTTTCTTGTGAATGGTAGAAACTTCTATCCCGCGCTTTTCAGTCGTGTATTCTTGGTTGAGACTTGGGGCGCAACAGGGACAACAACATTGTGGCAATTATAATGTTCGTTTCGAAGGTTCTAGAAATACAAAGTGTCCCGTAATTTTCTAGCTTAACCTGCTACTCAAGAGATCACGGGATGGGCCCTGTCGAGTGATCGCTCGTGAATATCGCGAGAAAAAGACGCTGGAGCGTAAAGGGCCGGGTTAATTCTCGCGACCAAGCAGACAGCCCTTTCCATACCCTACAGATAAACAAGCAGTCTTAACACGAATGCTGGCATGCCACGGTGGTTAAAGAGTACACCCCGTCTGGCGCCGTTCTACACGGTCTCTCTGGTACATACTCTTAACATTCACCCGGGGCCAGATTTTCCTCTCAGGACTTCGGGGATATTCCACTCTTGGGTAGCATCGTTCTTTGTGTCGGTAAGTATATAGTCTCAAAGGCTCACTGCTTTCCCAAGGTAGCTGCCTGGTAGCAATTCCTCCCTAGAGAAACCGCTCCTCCGATTCGCTTTCTCTCACAACACCTCTGTCCACAAAGATTCTAAATTGTGCTCTGCTAGCTAACATACGCGTGCTCGCAGTGTTCTGGGATTACGCACGCAATTCGCGTTCCTCGCTCTCTCGTGAGTTGGGACGAGCCGTGACGCCTTCCGCTTGTTTGCGCTCTCTTGTTTCCTCTCGTCCCCCCTCTCCCCAATTTTCTCCCTCCCCTCCCTCCCCTCCCTCCCCCCTCCTCCCTCCCTCCCTCCCTCCCTTCCTTCCTTCCTTCCTTCCTTCCTTCTCCCCTCTCCCCCCTTTCCTCCCTCCCTTTCACAGGCGACCTCTCTCCGCTTAACATCTCCCCTTCACCACACCTTCTTACCTTTAACCTCCCTTATCAAACCAAGTTCCCTAGCGGCTTCTTCATAGTTTCTATTCAACCATAAATTCCCTCCCAAAGATAGCAAGGTTCAGCAATGTCTAAACGTCGCTCTCGTTCCCCAGAGGGGGATGATGGCCACAGAAGGCCTCGTCAGAGGGACTATGGTTTTTCTAGAGATCAACTTGACAGTCGCGGTGGTTCTCGTGATGACCGTGATCGCTATTCTGGCTCTGGTCGAGATGATCGGTATGCTATTGCCTCCCCCTCGTTTGATCCATTTACTGTTAGCCATCTCAAATGGCCTTGCTTTAGTGTTTTGCGATGCTCAAAAAATTTTGGCGGCTAACTTTTTTTATTTTTTTAGTGGGGGGCAAGATATCCCGTCCGCTTATGGCGATGACCGTCGCCGCCAGAGAGATTCCGGTACTTCTTATGGAGATGATCGTCGCTCTAATCGTGGTGATGACCGTCCTCAGTAAGTTGACAAGATCTCTCCTTTATAGTGCTGTGGCAATACTTTTTTTCTTTTTTTTCTTTCGCACACTTGGTTAATTTTTGAACAGATACAGTGATCGTTCGTCGGGTTATGTCGATGACCGCAGAGGATATTCTGGTCGCATTACTGGAACCAACGATGTCCCTATCGGCAGCCGTGATGGCCGTTCGCCTCCCCGTGACTTCGATCGTAAGCCCACCCATGGTGGTCAATCTGGCTACGGTAGATACGGAGGAGGTGGTGGCGGAGGAGGCTATGGGGGCCGAGACCAGGGTTCCGATCAAGGCCGTAGTGGTATGTTTAGCCTTCGGTCCCGTGTCATGATGTTCTATCACTCGCTGGGATGTAAATATTAATTTGAATGCTTATAGGTAGTGATTATGGCCGCGGTCAGAGTGACTATGGAAGCCGTGGTGGAGGCCGTGGTCGTGACAACCATGGCGGTGGCGGTGGTAGTGGAGGCTATGGCGGCGGTGGCTATGGCAGTGGCGGCGGTGGATATGGCGGCGGCGGTCGCGATTACGGTGGGGGTCGTGGGGATTATGGAGGTCGTGGCGGCCGTGGTGGCCGCGGTGGCTACGGAGGTGGTGAGTGCTTCCTCTTTTCTCCGGAATTCTGCCTCCTTCAATCATCTGCTTACTATAGTTGTATAGATCGCGGCGGTGGCCGCGGCAGCTACGGAGGCGGATACACCGCTCCTTCCGGCCCCCCTCTCCCAGCCGATATTCCGATCCCTGTTAGTGGAGAAGAAATCCGCCTTGTGAGTGGTAACGCCTAGCACTCGACTGCCGTGATTTTATATTCTTGGAGACTAATTATGTTTCCAACAGCCTGCCCGCAAAGTCCAGGGCTCCGGGGAGCCGTACAAAGTTTGGGCAAACCACTTCGTGATCCAGTCTTTGCCAAAGTTGCAACTTTATATGTACGACGTACGTTCTCTGCCTTGCCTTTCTGCAAAATCCACTGAGCTAATTTTATGACTCCCAGATTCGCGTAACTGCTGCCAGGAAGAAAGAAGGCTCCGATGAAGAGGTCAAGCAGTGTTCTCCAGCCATGGTCGGTCGTATTTTGCAAACTCCACAGGCCAAAGAAATCCTGGGTGATGGTTTTATATTTGATGGTAATTATATCTACCTCTTTGTTGCTGAATGACCGCCTAACCTTGATCCAGGTGTTTCGATTGGATGGGCCACTAAGAAACTCCCGATCGAGGGCGATACTGCTACCTTCGGTTTGGAGCTCCCCGGTGCTCGTCCTGGAAGAACGTTTGGGTGCACTATTGGAATCCAGTATGATGGTCCATTCAATTGCGACGCCTTGACCAACTGGGTTTTAAGGGAGCAGCAAAAGGGAATTACTATCGAAGCCCTTGCAAACTACGAGCAGGACCAAGAGGTGCTTCTTTGCCTTAAGTTTATCAACTCGCTTTTGCGTAAAGACTGTACCGAGAGGTTTGTCAGTGGTCAAGGCAACAAGTCGACTACGTTTTTCGATAAATCCCGTGATGGAAATACCTCCTTGACCCTCAACTCCACTCAAGGTGTGATAGAGGCCTGGCGTGGATTTTACCAAACCGCCTCCTCCCGCTTCGGGCAAATTACAGTGAACGTTGACACCGCTACTGCCACTTTCATCAAGCCTGGGATAAATTTCGTTGATGCAATCTCCAGGTTTTCCGGGGTTCAACCGGAGGACCTTGAACGCGGATTTGACTATAATCGTGAAAAAATCCTAGAGGCTGCGAAAAAGTTTAGCGGCGTCGGGTTCAAGGTCAAACATATCAAGGGCCCAAAGGGGGAGATTTCCAGGCGTGGTTTCAGACTTACCCGTTTGAGTGCTGAGGAAGATAAATTCCAGATCAGGATCTGGAACACAGATGATGAAGGGAATAAGGCTTTCACCCTTGAGGAAATCACTATTGCTGAGGTGCCTCTAATCCCTTCTGCACCAATTACCATCTTGCTGACGTTCATGCACAGTACTATTCCCGCCAATACAACATCAAATTGAGATATCCGAAGCTTCCCACCGTCGAAACTAGAAAGGGGGACAAATATCCCCTTGAGTTGTGCTTTGTTGACGATGTATTATCTTTCAATCCTCCCTTTAATGCTCCGTTGTAACGTACGTTCTGACATTAAATTACAGGCGGAACGCTGGAAAGAGCTCCTTCAGGGAGCTGAAACTGCAGAGTTTATAAAGTTTGCTGCGGCTCCGGCATTTGCCCGCCGAAGCCAGATCGAGGAAAGCTTGAAAAAGATAGGCTGGCACAATATGAAGTCACTTGGGGAATTTGGTGTCTCTATTAAGCCGCAATTCATCGAACTGGAAGCCAAAATCCTACCTTCCCCAATAGTGGTCTTTGGCCAAGGAACTGAGAACTCGGGTCCGAGGAATGGCCGATGGAACCTTAGGGGAAAGAGATTTTATAAAGTGAGCCAAGCTAACCCCGTCACCCGAACTAGAGCTTTTTGTTAATGATTTGTTGATTTTGTAGCCCGCGGCTCTCAATGGTTATGGTTTACTATACATTCCTGGGGGTCACGGTATGCGAGTTGACGAGAGAGGCATTGACGCCTTCACCAAGACCTGTGGACAACAGTTTTCCAACTACGGCGTCTCAACGAACCCTAGGTGCCCGCCTCAATGGGCCATGGCCAACCTACAAGGAGATTTCGAACGTCAGATCCATGAGTTGATATCTAAGCTCCAGGCGAGTAATGGTGTTAGACCTAATCTCCTGATTTTTATCCTTCCAAATGTTGCAGTTGAGCCGTACTGCACCATTAAGAAAATTTGCGACACAACCTTCGGAATTGCCTCGCAGTGCATGGTTTTGGAGAAATGTTTCAACCCAAAGGGTCAACTTCAGTACTTGGGGAATATTGCCCTCAAAGTCAATGTTAAACTTGGTGGATCTAATGCGGTTATTGACGACCCTTTCCTCACCAAACAGCCGACGATGATTATGGGTTGCGATGCCTCGCATCCGAATCCCTCACAGCGCAGAATGGATCCCCCACCACCAACCTTTACTGCGATTTCCGCTAGTTATGACCGCCGTTGCGCAAAGTACTCGGCGGTTACAAGCTGTCAAGCTGCCGGGCAGGAAATTATTCAGGACTTTGGTGCCATGACTCAAGAATTGTTGAAACGCTTCCAGGAACAGGCCAAACGTGACCCTTCTGCTATCATTTACTTCCGTGATGGGCTCTCCGAGAGTGAACTTGACAAGGTTGTTCGCGCTGAGCTTGCGGAGCTTAAGAGTAAGTCGTTTCTCGTCCTTGAATTTATCTATTCATGACTAATAGATTGATAGAGGCCACCAAGGCCAAGATCTCGGTGATTGTCTGTGTGAAGCGCCACCATACTCGTTTCTTTCCCCTTGATAAGGGCGATAAGAACGGGAATATTGCTGTTGGTACCGTAGTTGAAAACGGACACGGCAAAGACATCTTCATGGTTTCGCATGCCGGCCTTCAGGGAACAGTTCGCCCTACCCATTACATGATGTTGCACGACGAGAACGACCTCACCGCTATTGACTTTCAGCGAATTTGTAACAACGTTTGCTATGCATATGGGCGCGCTACTGTTTCTGTTAGCATTGGTCGGTTATCTCGCCCCTTTTAGAGTTAATGTTATTCTAACCAACTCACAACTTCCAGCTCCGCCGGTTTACTATGCGAACCTTGCGTGCGACCGCGCTCGCTCGCATGTTGTTCATACCAATCAGGGACAGAGTGAACTTTTGCAAGTCCATGACCTTCTCAAGTACTCTATGGTAGCCCTTTACCCACTCTGCCCATTGCGATAACCGTTACTGACATTTTTCGGCACAGTGGTGGCAATGATTGATGGATGCTTTCCTGCTTGTGCTGATATTTGAGTTTTCAATTCACCTACGGTCAAAGGTTGCATGCATCATTTTCTTTTCATTTCCAAATGTCCCTGCTACTTTTTATGTCTCTCATCTTGCCTATACTCTAGAGTATCTCCAGGGGTTATAGGCTGAGTGTCATTTGCATCGGGTATGTAGAATCGCCTAAATAAAATTGCTATGAAAACTTATCAACGCGGTCATAATTACGTGATTCCTATTATGAGTGATGGACTAAGCATCGGGTTCCACCAAATTTCCCCCAAAGTCTTAGAGGATTATATATGCAGAAGATTGTATAGTTCGAGCGTACTCGCTATGATACAGTATACCAAATTTTAGCTAAGGACGCCGTCATAGTGGTGCAGTGGACAGGATGGCAACAATTTTGAGCCTAGGACCCATCAATACAGCCCCCTCTAGAGCCTCCCTCCCCCCCCCATTGGTCCGAAAAGCCTACCATCTCTTCGGTATCGTCTGGTATGTAGATCCCATCTCCCGCTGCTACCTGGCTCTCCCCTTTTTCATCCCAAGTCATTATAGTGCTACCTCCTCCTCGTCCTCCCAAGATGGGCGGTTAGATGCACCTGTAGATCATTCCCCCCTCCAGCGAAAAAAGAGATTGGGTAAACATCAGCTTCCCCAGAGAGGCATCCACGCTGGAGGAACGTGGAGGCCCCAGGTCTTGTCCTCCGTCTGTTTTGTTTCTTGGCTGGTTCCGTTGGTAATATGGGTAATCAGGACCGTGGGGAGAACGGTGCAGGTGCCATGCATAATATCTACAAGTGATAATGCCCCGCAGCGCCATTCTGAGATCTTTAAGGCTCCAAGCCCTGGCTTAAGCTATGGCATCGTACTCAGCAATAACGGTAGGATGCCTAACTGTGTAGTAGGGTAACCGGAACGCGGGGGGTAACAACCCTCCATGTCTCGGCAGGCGGTGGAAACTTTGGCGCTCTAGAGTTTCAAGACGGGGGGGGCCATGGCCGGACGTCGATTTTCTCAGGCAGGGTGCAGCGGGCGTTTACCGAGGACGGTTAAGTCCATGTCTCGGTAGTATGGGCTGTGTTGGTACGAATACGGGATGGTAATCGGGTGGCTGTCCTCGGGCCTGGTTGTTGTAAATCACTGGCACTCCAACTAACCCCTTGCCTATCCATGGCCACTCGGAGGACTGGAGACTTCTCCGGGAGTGTCTGATATTTGTAATGCTTAGGAGGAAATTGATAAGCAGGATGGAAGGTTCTGGGGATTATTACAGATGTGTATTATAGATTGATATTGCGGGGCAAGGAAAGGAAATACACGAGGGGGCAAGAGGGAAAGTCATTGGTTGACAAAGCGGGGTAGAGCGATGTCTGTAGAACCAGAAAGAAGACAAAAGAGGGGTAAAAGGCGGGGTCATATAGATGACCAAGGAGACCGGTCTGGATGGGAGAAGCTATGATATGGATGTATATAAAGCCCGCTGTGCAAGAGGTAGTGGGAGAAAAAAGAAAGGGAGAGAAAAAGAACGGAGCAGCAATCGGAGAAAGCATCAGAATCGAGTTACGGCCAACGGTTAGAAAAGACAAAAGCTTCCAACGCGCTGAAGTGAGAATATACAACTTCAATTTGTTTTACTGGTGAGGAGTCTGATCTGGCGAGGATGGTTGGGGCTGCGTGAAGTGGTGACAACCGAATACGGAAGGAAGGTTTGTGATTGTTTCCTGTGACGTCTCCCACTTCAACGCTTGAGCATAGCAGGATGGTGAGAATAGGGAGAGTCTTTCCTGGGCATTGAGTTGTAAATTCATATATCAACCAATGTGGGGGGATTATAGTGCTGCGCTGTCATGGGCGTGTGGGGGAAGAGTTTATGCTAAAGAAGGGGGGGGGTTGTGGTAGATGTATGCGGGGAATTTCTCAAAATTGCGTTTTCGGCTCCCCCCTTCCTCATTCTCAACACTCCGTATGTTCACTCTTTCGTTAGACTCCACCCCTCCAGCACGGTTCCGGGTTTGGCAGCTACTCACAGCAGAGAGAAAAGGGATGAGGCTCTCCTTCGTCTCCCCCGCTCTCCCAGCGAACATCTTTGGCTCTGCCGATGCGCAATGTAACTCTAGCTTGACATCACTGGTAATCACTCGACCACGCTAACTCCATTTCCAGAACCTTATCGCCAGCCGCCAGGTTACAACAGCGTAACAACCCAGGTTAAAAGGGCTCGGCACATCATCCACCAGCAACCCGTCCAATATATGAATCTCCTAGGCCGTGCCGGATCATCTTAGGATGCTGTCCGTCGAATAGCCTAGTCCTCTCCACACCTTTCCAAAGCATGCCCCCCCCCAACGCCTTGCAATGTGGGCTTCGCTCTCTGGTACCCTAAGGCTGAAACTCCGGTTTCAGCAATGTTCGAATAATATCATAATTATGTCGCTATATTGCAAACTATTACCGTACAGCAGCGACATCCATAAGACAAGAGACTAGGAAACGATATCCTTCACTATAGAATTTGATTTTAGGTAATCGCATCTTCTCCTGTAGGACCTCATGCTGAGAAGTGCTGAGAATTGAAGTGCTTTCCTTCAGGAGGTCCCTAGTGAGGAGGAGCCAAGTCGGGTGCGGAATACCCCCATCCGCAATTCCGGGGATCAACAGTGCGCTTGAGTGTGAAGTTCGGTTTTATATCCATCTCTACTCACTATGTAAACTTTCCCCCTCCCCCTTTACGCCTCTGTTAAGGTCAAAAGTGCATTCTCGTACTTGCGCAGATAACGGTGTCTGGCGGGTTTACGGCAGGGTACCGCATTTCATCGCATTATATTGCATCGTGCCCTTCGTAAACTTACACTATTACTTGGACGAGTGATAGTCTGTGACGGGTTGATAAAACAACCAAGGAAAGTGTGGTGACCAATTTCCTACCCAGAGACGACAGCTCCCGGGTGTGTCAAGGCGCGTGGGCAGACTGAAGCAGAGGCAAAATTCCCTTTAGGAGCACCGTACCAATCATAGCAGTCCCGGCCACTTTTTGAGATTCCCAGACTTAGAATGTGATGCACACCGTAATCCCCTCAAAGCTATCCACCGGAGCTTTACTCTTCCACCCGTTGCTTAGTTTCGTGGTAAATCCTAATATATCGTAGGAACGGATAGAAGGCTACTCATCCGGCATCTCCGACGATCCCCAAATCTCAACACAATTTGCAATTAAACGGTATTTGGCTTTGGCAGGTTCTACCCCTGTCCCTAGAAGGACGGGGTAGATTACGGTAAATTTGGCAACCCGCCATGACACTTCTCTGCTCTGCGTTGTGCGGGTGCTATGCTCGTCACTCTTGGCGAATATTGGAAAAGGGTGGCCCCTATTTCCACAGAACCTAGAAGAGGTTGCGGGAGGAGCTTTCTGAACCACGTCTGGATCACGAGGAACTGTACCGCTATGCCATAGCTTGGGCCATGCACAAGGTTTTCGACTAATCCACCCACAATAATTGACATACTGAACTGTACCCGTGAATACATTTTATAGTTCTTGAACATACCATTGGTCGATAAAGATATTGAGAGATTTCAGCCATATTCCGGCCACTGCACAAGCACAGCATCCCGCAGCAGTACAGAGAAACTGCACGGGTACGCTGAGAAGAAGAAAAAGGACATTCCGGTATTACATCTTCCGTGTCGACCCTTTCCACGAATCCCTATAGAAATATATATCTATCATACGGGAAGTCAAGAACCCAAATATTCAAAATCCAGGCTTTTCTCTGCCGATTAAATTCGCCTAGGGCGGGCAATTGTGTGCGGAGGGGCTCTAAGGTTTGTATGGGTATCTATACAAGTAGAAAAGGGTACTTTATTGGAAAACTGGAAAATTGCTTGGTTCAAGTGTTCGCACACAACCTCAATCTGACGAAAATTGAACAGCAGGTTGAGGTTCTAACGTGACCAAGCAAACTCTTGGTGTGAATTGACGAGTGACCAGGAGCTGTACCGCCTCGCTCTATCAGGCTACCCGATCCCGCCGCAGGAGCTCTACGAGTACCCACAGGGAGTTTTTTCATCTCTGTGCAGACTTTATGGTGCGCCGCAGGATAGCACTTAACAAGGTATGACACTCCCCGCTACTGATGCGGTAAGGGAGGATGTTCGCACAGCTTTGCAGGTGATTGATTACATAAGTTACCCGTAGTCCTCGGTATCCTGGAGGTTCCTCAAAAATAACCCCGCACCCTTTTCAGCCGTAGGAATTCCAACACTCAACAGACTCCATCATCCATCTCCTCCACTATCCGAAGCCGAGAAAACGGAAAAATGTCTCAATACTTCAGTAATAATGTCAACTCTTGGAACACTATCAATTTCTATGCCGCCCCCGATGAACAATCTAAAATCCTAGCCTGGATATCCCCACTAGATCCCAGTTTGCGGCATCAGGATATCCAACACCACCGAGTTGAAAAGGTGGGGGAATGGCTCTTGCAAACCGAGGAATTTAAAAGCTGGTACGCCGGTAGTGAGGGAGGCGGATCCAATAACGCAGTCTTGTTCTGCTGCGGAGATCCCGGTGTCGGCAAGACCTACATTAGGTAACAAAGGCAACCCTAGAGGGATGGTAGAAAGAGGGCAAGCGCTGACAAGTCGTGATGTTAGCTCATTAGTGATAGACAGCCTGGCTGATCAGGCTAGAGGTCAAAATGCCACCGTTGCGTGTTTTTATTTTGACTTCGCTGCCCAAAAGGAGCAGACCTCCACGAGCATGCTAGGGACTCTGCTGAGACAGCTAGTTGCCGGACTGGAAAAGATCCCGGAGGAGATATCACGAGAATACCAAGCCCGGAAAAATTCTCTTGGTGGGCAGGCGCTGCCACCTTCCGATATTGTGAAGATGCTGCAGACCACCTCTTCGAAGAAGCCAACCTTCATTTGCATTGACGCGCTAGATGAATGTGTGGCGGAATCGCGAGTCAAGCTTCTTGGCTCGCTAAACCATATCCTGCAAAAGTCTCCGGGAACCCGAATATTCATGACTGGAAGGCCGCACATTCGTCCCGAGGTAGGAAGGCGGCTTGGCGAAAGAGTGACGACCGTATCCGTAAGCCCAAAAAGAGATGATATTATCAGCTATCTCCACACCAAGCTAGAGGAGGATACAATCCCGGATGCGATGGACGATAGTCTGGAGGCAGACATCCTGAAGAAAATCCCGGAAGATATCTCTGAAATGTATGTGCAAGCAACGACACTAGCGAAGCTTCCTCAGGTTGCCCACTAACGGGCACACTTAGATTCTTGCTCGTCTCACTGAATATCGATGCGATCCTGCAAGAAACCACAATCCATCGCAGGCGAGAAAGGCTCAACGCAATTACTGGTAGGTTGGAGTTGGGGAATGCTTATGGCGCGACGCTGGATCGAATAAAAGGACAAGGTGCGGAGAAATCGAGGCTCGGCATGGCCGCTTTAATGTGGATCTCTCACTCGGAGCGGCCCTTGAGGCCTGATGAGCTGTGTCACGCCCTAGCAGTTGAAGTAGGGTTGCCGAATCTCAATCCCGACAATGTTCCCTCAATAGGAACCGTGCTAGCCTGCTGTCAAGGACTTGTTACTACAGACAAGGAGGCCTCCACGGTCCGGTTAATCCACTCTACCCTTCAAGAGCACCTCCGGGCTCATCCTGACATTTTTGGCACAGCTCACTCGACAATAGCAGAAACCTGCTTAAGTTATCTGAATTCCCAGCAGGTCAAGGCTCTCTCGACCAGTCCCTCTCCCGACATCCAAAACTGGCCCTTTCTCGAATATTCCTCACTATATTGGGGAATGCACGCAAAAAGGGACCTCTCAGAGTGCGCTAAATCGCTCGCCCGAAGGCTATTCGGCGACTACAATAATCACGTTTCCACTAAAATCCTCTTGAAAGCACAGAAATTATATTCGTACGCTACTGATTTCAACAAACCTCTCCTGTTCAGTAGTCTACACTGTGCATCAATCTTTGGGATCGCCGACATTGTAGCTAGTTTGCTACCGGTAGAAGGTCACAAGATCAACGAAAAAGACTGCACGGGTAATACACCTCTCGTGTGGGCTGCTGACAATGGGCACGAGGAAGTAATAGAAATGCTACTCGGATGGGACGACGTCCGCCCTAACCAAGCAGATGTGTATGGCCGAACACCACTCCGTTGTGCAGCTGAGAATGGCCATGATGGAGCGGTGAAGATGCTACTCGAACGGAGCCACGCCTGCCCCAGAATACCAGATGGCCACGGCCAAACTCCACTCTATTCTGCTGCTCAGAATGGCCACGGGGGAGTGGTGGGAATATTACTCGAACAGGGCGACCCCGGCCCCGAGCAACCAGATGAGGATGGCCAAGCGCCGCTCGGTTGCGCTGCTGAGAATGGCCACGAGGGAGTGGTAGAAATACTGCTCAAACGGGACGACGTCGACCCCGACAGGCCAAATTCGTACGGCAATACACCACTCCATTGTGCTATTGAGAATGGCCACGAGGGAGTGGTGAAAATACTGCTCGCGCAGGAGGACGTCGACCCCGACGAACCAAATGACGACGGCCAAGCACCATTCTATTCTGCTACTGAGAGTGGCTATGAGGGAATAGTGAAACTACTGCTCGCGCGGAAAGACGTCAACCCTGATAGGCCAAATAAGTACGGCGAAACACCACTCTGTTGTGCTGCGTGGCATGGGCACGAGGGAGTGGTGAGGCTGCTGCTCGGACGGGGTGGCATCAACCCCGACAAGCCGGATGGGGCCGACCGAACGCCACTCTGCTCTGCTGCCGCGAATGGGAAAGAGGGGGTGGTAAAAATATTGCTCGGACGGGGCGACGTAAACCCCAACAAGCCGGGTATATTAGGCCGAACACCACTCTGGTTGGCTGCTAGGAATGGCCACGGGGGAGTGGTGGAAGCATTACTCGAGCAGGACGTCGACCCTGATCAACCAGATGATGGTGGCCAAACGCCACTTTGTTGCGCTGCTGAGAATGGGCACGAGGGAGTGGTGAGGAGACTACTCCCACGGAACATCAACCCCAACAGGCCAGATAAGGCCGGCCGAACACCACTCCAGTTGGCTGCTAAGAATGGCCATGCGAAAGTGGTAGCACTACTACAGCCCCTAGTATCTGTCACCCCCGGCACAACCTAAGGTTGAGGAGACATCACCCACCTTACCCCCTCCGAATATCGACAACCTATATACCGTTCCCGCAAGGGCCTCAGCAATTCCACAAATACGTCTGTCGCCACCACGACCTCCCCCATTTCATCCCCGCCCGGCCTCCACTCACCCCTCAAAACGCCGCCTTATGGTAACTACCATCTTTCATGTCCCCCCGAAACCCAGCTCCAATATTTACTATTGGCAAAACGAGACCATATGCCACGGGAATGCACATATCCCTTACGTAACTGCCCACACCTCGATATAGATTTTCCTGTTGCCGGATCAGGATTTATCAGTTTTTATTTGTTGTCTAGTATTCTGCGATGCTAGGGAGCTACTTCATTGTACCGAGATAAGCCGGTGTGGCTTTCCATTATATTTATTCTTGTTGTTGTCGAGTTACAAATCCTCTTTGCACATTCGCTGTTCATTGATTTTCCCCTCCTTCCCCCCTCCCCTCTGAAGCGCAGACTTGAGGGCTACCTATATAATATAGAGATAAGACATGAAACACGATTCAAAACCCATCTGCCGGCTAAAGCACGGTGGTGATTGGTTTCCATTATAGACATGCCATATCATTAACTTTCGTATGAGCCGGATTAGCACCCGCGAGGGTCCGCCCAATCACCTCTCTGCCTCTGCTTCAAGTGCAGCAGTTTAGGGAAGGGCCTACCCGTCCTCTTGTTAGCCCAATTGCTCCTAGTTCCAATCCGACTTTTACGAATGATACGGGTAGCTTAGCGAAGATCATTTCCAGATACGCCTGCATGTCCCGGAAGCTATCCACACTCTTCAGTCAGCACACCCAGAAAAATCAACACAGCGACAAATCCTCAACCTCGAATTATCCCAGCACCCTACCACAACCCGCCAAGAGCGATCGAACGGCCAACCCACAGCACCGCGAAAACACCGCCTCAAGCGCCACGATATGATACCACACCCAGGAGCGACCCCCCACCCCCCCCGCCCTATCTATCTTCACCACCCCCCGAATAGCACGAAACATGGTACTGTACGCTAGCCTTGCGAGAAATCGACATCTCCCAGTAAATCAGGTCCCCGGAGTACACTACCCGCACCACACAAAATCCAACACCAGCCAGGTACGATATAACCGTAGCGGTACACTTATCATACTGCACACTACTACTACCAGTACCCCTTCCTCATACAAGTTCGTTCGCCACACGCAGTACCGAATAACCCTCCCACAACCGCCGGAATTAGATCAGATTGCCAGAGAGCCAGAGGGTAGGAGAGCCAAAAAAAAAAAAATGAGGTCCATGGTAAATAGCGTACCGTATTATACAAATCCCACCCACTATATTCTTATCGGAAACCGAGTGTATGGATGTTCCAAGACTCGATTTGAATCTTTTTCTTTTTCTTTTTCTTCTTTTCATTCCTTACCCACAACCAGAACACCTGTGTAACACCCCTCCCCCCCCCCCCTGCTTGGCGACCCCCTCTTGCGGATGTCTCCATTGAGATTGAGGCCTAAAATGCTTTTCATGCCCATCCGGTTAATAGTGTTCAGTGAGTCTGTAGTACGATAAGTTGTGTTGTGTTGTGTCGGGCGCTACTTAAACTCACTTCTCATGCTCTAGCTCTAGCGAGTGACAGTTTGTGCTTCTGATGAACGGTGGGGGGGTTTGTGATCCTAGTAATCATAATTATCGCTCTGCTCCCTTGGTACAATACTACATTTCTCTTTCCCCAAGTTTACATAAAATAACCTCCCGGTCACGACCATCGCCACCGCAGTTGTGGTCATTGGAAACCACACACTTTCATCCATCCTTCCCAACCAGCAACGTTACCTATCCACCGGTGAACATCACACCATAATCCCAACCAATAAAGGCAGAGCGAAGAAAGCGACGGTAGAGATAAGATAATTCAAATGATATAACTCCCCCATCCAGCCATCTCCCACACCCATCTAAACTCCCATTCCGGTGAGGTAAAGAAAAGACAAAAGGAAATATATGGACAACTCGCCTACTTCCTGAATCCTCTCAACAAGGACGGTATCTTACTCCTGCGGCTCAAGCCCACACGAAATGGGACTCTACCGGGAGTGGTGGTAGACGCCTTTTTTGAGTCCGATGCGGGGGTGGCGGATTCGCGCTCCGGAGGCGCGGGAGTGGTTCCAGTTTCTGATCCGGGAGATTTGATGTCTGCTCCGGGCTCTGTGGGAGCCGGGGTTTCTTTTTTGTCCCCGGCCTTGGAAACGCTTGCCGCGGTGGTAGCCTTAGCAGACTTGGATTTTTTAGGAGTCTTCAGAGGGGCAGGAGCTTCTTCAACCTCCTCCAAATCCTGCTCGACCACTTCCTCCGCTTCCATGGGCGACTTCCTGATAACCTTTGCTTTAGCAGCACGGCCTCTCGCAGCTGGTTTTGGTGAGGGGGCTTCAATCTCTGCCTTATCTTCGGTAGCTGTTGTCGCTTCAACCTCCGTGTCCAAGACCTTTTTAGAGTTAACTCTACCACGAGTCACAGACATTTTTCCCCCTACCTTAGCATTTCTACTTTTCACCGCATCTTTCTTGGCAGCCTTCTTAGGTTTCTCGTCCCAATTTATGTCCTCATCTTCGACTTCTTGTTTAGTTTTCTTTTTGCGCCCGCCGGTTGAAGCCCCGGAGACAGCTCTCTTGGCGGGAATGACAGGTTTCGGGGACGGAGGAGCAGACTCGTAGTCATGCTGGGGCATTCCATGTGTGAGGTCGGAATTGGATTCCATGATATCTACCACCGGATCGATCCTTTCGACGTCTCCTACAGTTGATTTGCACTTTTGGACGGGTTTAGATGGAGACTCAATCGCAACGGCGATCATGACCTGGTCACCTGGGCGCCTTCTGCCAGGAGTCTGCTCAGAATGGAGGGCAGCACTATCATCAGCAGCAGCACCCCCGGGGTTGGAGATGGGATGCTGTAAATAATGTTAGCTCCAGGTTTAATAGCGCCGGGCATATTTAGCCAAGAATGCAAAAGAAGTGTAACCACCTGAGCAGACGCCTCATCAGAGAAAGCGCCATCGTCTTCGGAATCATTGACAACAGCTTTTCCTTTCCTTTTCCCCTTCCCCTGCTTCGCGGGAGCAGCAGCACCACCTTTCGCACCCCTCTTTGCACCTTCACCAACAGCCGCAGATTTCCTCTGGCGACCGACCTTTTTCTTTTTTTCTGGGATCTCCTGAGCGAGATGGTCCTCATCGTCTGATAGAGTAATGACAGCATTCATCGTTTTAGACCTCCCCTTAGCAACCCTCCATTCCGAGGCGATTCTTCCGAAACCCTCAGTACCGATGCTCCCATCCGTAGCACTGCGCTTGGCAGATCTGCTGCTCCTGACAGCCTTTGAAGTATTGTCACTTTGCACCTCTCTTGAAATTATTATTTGCGCTGCCGATGAAGGTGGTCCCGCACTAGATTTTCCCATCGGAGGAGAGCTAAGTAGCGAAGATACCATACGGTCCGGTAGTTGTTCCGGGAGTAGTGGTGGTTGTGGTGGTGGTTGCGATGGCGGTTGAGGTGGTAACACAGCTATAGACTGGTTGTGATCAAGACCCCAAAGTTGGCTCTGTCCTAGACCGTCAGAAGGAGGGTCTGGAATTGTACTTAACACTGGATAATCTTCAGCATCTGGTTCTCTGCCCGCAAAGTTCACCGGCAGAAAGGTCGCATCGGAGCTCCCGGTTAGACCTAAAGATAGGGCTTCGTACTCGGCTTTTCTTTGTGTCGCGAGAATTAAATCCTCACTCGTGAGGTCGACCATAAAACTGTCAAAATTGGGTTCGTCCCCACGAGCCTGCACCGTCGAGCTTTCTTCGCTTTGCCCAACTACACGGGCGGTGTTTATCCCTAAGTTTAAATCACCATCAAATTGATTACTACTAACCAGTGCCCCGCTTTTCAGCTTCCTTTTCGGCTTTGGTAACAGCGGTGCGAGCTCCTTCTCGTTGGTGTTACTCCGAGTGGATTTCTTCCCAGCTGGTTTCTCAATTTTCGAATTTGGCGTCCAATCATCCTCTGAGCATTCATCCTGTAGCATATCCGGAATGGACTTTGACCGCCTAGCCGCCGCACCGCTCTCCCGTCTCTTCCCAGGCTCCGCCTTCTGATTCTCATACGCAAGCCCTTCGCTCTCCTCTGCAACTGACTTTGACCTCTTCGCAGGTCTCTTCCGCCTCTTACCCTCAGGGGGCGAAAAAAAATCACTACCATCATCGTCGTCGACCAGAAAATCGTACACATCCATCTCCCTACTTATGCTACTTTCTAGCCATCCGTTCGCTGTTTTTCTGCGAGCGGCCGTAGCCACTTTGACAAGTTCCGGTTGCGCTCCGGGAGTGTCTGGGGTTTCGAAGGGAGGGGCTAGAAGCAGAGATTGAGCTTCCTTAATGGCCTTTTCGCGAGCCTCTACTCAAGGGTTAGCTATGGAATTACCGGTACAGCAAAAACCCAACAGAGAACCAACAAACCTCCGCTAACCTGACCTGGCCCCGACGACAAAGATGGCGATCGGAGGTGCGAATTTGACCCTGTGAAAGCAGCTAGAGGAGGAGGGACCATTCCGTCCTCCTCTTGGTAGTGGGCATTATTGTCAGAGCTCTCGTCCTCCGAATCTTGGATTACGAGAAAGCTGGACAACATTGGTGTCCTCGGGGTTCTGGAAAGCGCGCTGTTGAGGGGGCTTGATGGGGAAGACGCGACGGATTGAGGCTCTTACCGGTACAAGTACTTCCGACTTTCTACGCCAAGACCGATAAGAAGACAAGTACCGGTATGATACACCCAGCATCACTCGTAAATTCATTCATCTTGAAAGTCTGGTGCTAGAAATTCCTCACCCATTTTTCTTCTTCCCTCCGCAAAATTTCCCGCAACCCACTTTCCCTCCCTCTAATACAAACCTTACTTCAATCAGGAGAAGCAAATTCCACCGCCCATAGAAAAGTGGTAATGAACGCATAAATTGTCTGCCTGGCCGTGGCTGTGAGGTTGCCGCAGGAGCGATGTGAGACCAGACGTATGATACAGTATCAGCAAACGCACTGAAATTCCGTACCTTCAGCCCTAAAACGATAGGATCGCGCGAAGAAATCGATATTGTGGGCTCCGGAAGCTGTAGAATTACGGTACCCCTCTCGATAAAACGAAGGGGCCGGCGATCCGCACACTTGAAGAGGAGAATTGGATCGAACTGGGATGTCGGTGGAGGAATGTGGGTTCAGGGTATTCGGCCATTCCGTACTCCCTCCTTGTAAAGCCATCATAAGTGCCGTAAATGCATTCATAACTCCAGTCTACCGCCTTAGTAACCATTGGTATCGTACAAAGTATGATACCGGTACCCGCATTCTGTGGCCGAGCCCCTTATTATGCAGGGACTCCACTGGGGCCAATGCCTAGCACTGGCACCGTATCTTTCTCTTCTCCCATCACCCTCGCTGAACCACGGTCGGGGGATGTGCTCGAGAACTAGTACAGCTCCAGCAACCGGCCCAGTGCAGGCAGCTCCAGCATATCTGCAAAAGGATGAGACACTCCCTCTATCCGCCAAGTCTAACAATGCACTGCTTCCAACTGGCATTAGTACGAGTACTTGTACCGGTGTGGTATCCCGCAGAACGCCGGTCTCGCGTTCATATAATACTCCATTCAATGGCCCGGGTTCAGGATGGCCCCGCAGCACCCACCTATAACTCGTAGCCAGTACCTGTACCATAGTTGTATGAAACGCCCTACTTGCACAAGTACGGTACAGACCCTAACCATGGTACAGTGGGGCACCGTAAACCACATCATTGGAAAACCCATGACCTCGGCAGTGGTCAAGTCCTCGCGCCAAGACTCCGCTTATCCTTGCTGACTAACCCAGATAAAATAATAATAATAATAGGATACCCACACTTCAATGTGGACCGGGAGCCGGGAAAAAAAAAAAAGGTCGAACGATCCCTAGGGGAATTCCTCCCCCCCGGCCAAACGTCAAAAAGCAGCCGCCCGCTCCTCCTCTCTCTGCACCACCAATACCTCGCAATTCGTGAGATGGCAGCGGTGGAGATATGCAACCATTCCTGTCCAAAGCACCACGGACCGCCTGTTGCTATCGCTCTACAATAGGCTGTGTGACGGTTAATCGTCGATTCGGCGAATTCTATAAACGGTTTTACTCGGCGGTTGCCAGTGGGCAGAGGAAGGATGGTGAGGGCGATAAGGGAGCGGGAGGGGAGGAAATTGATACCAAGGAAAGTGGTAGGTGGAAGGAATTCAAACATCCGGTGCCCCACCCAAAAGTTACGAATAATTGTGAGATAGCAGGACATCTGATCATGCCCCACGCACTGCGGAAGCATATCGAAGGGACGGCGAAAGCTCTGGCGACGAGGGTGTTAGAACATGATCGTTTAGTCAGGGCTTTGAGAGCGGAGATAGCCAAATGGCATCGGCGAGATACGGGGGATAGGACGGCGTCGGATCAAAAGGATAGGAAGCCTTCTACAGGCTCCGACAGTGAGTTCGATCAGTTGGAGATGCTCAAGAAGACGCTACAGCATATCACCCATCGCTATTACCAGGTGCCGGAGAGACCCGATCCAGAGAAGGAAGGATCGGATGGCAAATCGACGAAGGTGGCAGACACCAAAAGGCACACCCCTTATATCCCACCTTTCCCGGAGTACGTCACACCTGGGCCACCAACAGAGTTGAATGAATCCCTTATCAAACTGTTATCTACCCGACCCCCACCAATTGCTTTTCTCCCCAAGATATGTTATAATCTGCTCACATCGCCAACGGCACCGGATGTCGAAACATTCAACATCCTCATTTTGGGCCTTACCCGCCTACGACAGAACTCCCTCGCCCATGTCCTCTTCCGTGCGCTTCTAGAAGGCGGCATCGGTCCTAAAGTCACTCCAAACGAGGGAACAATCATTCGTATAATCGGCCTCTGCGTAAAATCCAGCGATTACGCCGGCTTCCTAAAAGTCATGAACATCCTCTGGCGTCAGCAAATGCGTCCAGGAAAAACGCGCGAACAGAGAAGACGCCCGAAACCTATCCTTGAAGCAATCATCTACGGCTTTTCAAAGTTTGGCAAGGGCGACCAAGTGCTGGTCTACCTCCGAGCCCTCGCGCGGGAGTGCCCCTACTCGCCAGAGCCGTCAATGTGGGTCTGGACTGCCATACTAAAACTCTACACCGAGAAATCCGACTGGCCCCAGGGGATCCGCACATGGAAACAAATGATGAAGCAAGACGCCCAATACCAAAAAGACAGTACTAGCGAGCGTGCCGACTTCCGCGCTTTTCACCAAATGTACAAGCTCTGCAGGAAATGCGGAAACGAAGCGTGGACAGCGGCGGTCCTAACCCTCGCAGCACAGCGCGGTTGGGACAAGGAAACCCTGGCGAAGAAGCCGAATAAGGGGAAAGGGGTCTGGTTCCGCAGACAAAACAAAGCGCCAGATTACGTCAAGGGACGAGGAGTCTACATGCGCGAGGTCGAAGGGAAGGACCTGCTGCGAGCGTTGGATTACGCCTGGGCGATGCAGGACCTCGCGGAGGACCGGGGCCATGCCAACATCGATTATGAAGATATAGGGAAGATGCTTGACGACCCCTCCTTCGACGCCTTTAGAATGAGGTACCCGGCGCATCCGCCGCCGGAGAAACCGCTCGTGTCCAGGGAGCAGAAGATTCGTACCTGGGAGGAGATATTGGAAGCAAGGATGAAGGTAGTCTCCGAAAAACTAAAGGCTCGCACGCGCAAAAGGTTCTCGAAGAGGAAGAAACCGAGGAAGAGGAGGAGGAAGGGTGGCGATGATGAAGCGAGTGATGGCCAGGGTGACGATAATAGTGGGCCCAGCGTCAAGAGCAACGACAACAACGGTGCTGGCGATGGACAATGAATGAGTGCGATTGAAGGATACCGCGTGATTGACACATTGTATAAAGTAGAATAAAAATAAAAAAAGGAGAATTGCAATCTTTTCCATCCACCTTTTTCCGCATTCCCCCGTTCCTGTCTATTATTTTGTTCTCTTTCCTTCTTTCCTCTTTCTCCCGTTTCCTTCCTCTTTGGATGGCTTTTTCCATCCCCGCAGTTTAGAATGCTCTGCTTGTATACTATTGTATATGCGCATGGGAACATCGGTTTCAATAGAAGGTGGTTGAGGGTAGTCGAAAGGGGCAGGCCGCGCTAGACCACGGTAGAGGATCGGGAAAGTGGGCGTGCATATATTAGTCTCTTATGTTTTCTGTTTTTATTTTTCTTCCTCATTTTCTCCCTAAATCGGGTGCTGTACGGGATTCTAAGGTGCGCCCACAGTACCGGACCGTAAATTACGGTACCAGTAGTCCACAGTGCAAGTCCCTGGAACGGTGATCCATGCGGGTTCTGTACTGCACTGTGCGAGTACAGTACAGTACAGCACTCGAGTGCCGTATGCGATATAGCAGTGCGGTAAGCAGGCAGAGTGGATGGGATGGAATGGAATGGGATGGGATGCGACGGGATGTATAGCACCCTAAAACGAAGTATTCTAGGAGGCAGGACAAGCAGAATGGCAAGTGCCGTATTCAGGTATGCACATAGGAATCCCATAAGTTGAGCTAAAAATTCCCCGCCCCCCCAAGCAGGGTACAGTACTATGCTGCACTGCACTTTACAGTACCTGCACGAGTACTGTACTCGTACTGTACCCGTCCAGTCCAGAATCTTATCAAAGAGGCATACCCGGTAGCCCACCACCATACATATCATCCCACGAAAAGCGACAAAATTTCCCGACCCAGGTCCTCCGACATCGAAAAGGTGGAAAAAGAAATAATTCAATTCAATTGATCCCGCCCGTATATTGATTCATTAATTCCTTCACTTGGACCATCCGAGGAGAGGAGAGGGGAAAAGAAAAGAAAAACTGCACTTGTTAAGATAAAATAAGCTTCGTCTCGTATCATCATCCCCTTCTCCCTTTTTTCCTTCCAGCAGTTTCTTTCCCGCTCTCTCTCCCGTGTGCGTGCGACCACGATCACTCGTCCAACAACCGTACGATAACCCGGACAAACAAAGCGAAACCCGAACACCAGTGCCGTGCCCAGGACAGGACGGAATCGAATCACCCCCCCTCCCGCTCCAAGAACCCACACTTTGGCCCGCTCGCTACCGTAATCAGTGAAGCCCCGGTGGGGTCGTCGGAAGTGCTGCACCGGTAAGGTGAATCGTGAAATCCCGGAACGGGCTTTTCGATTCGCCTTGGTTGCACCTTTCCGTTGCTTTTTCCCCCCTCTGCCCCTTCTCGCGGGAGTGTGGGGGAGGGATACGGTACAGTGCGGTGCCTTATTCCACTCCTGGATTAATCTATGCATCGCTATACTGGTACCGTGATTGGGATCGCGATGCCCTGGTCCGTACGGTACGCTACGGTATATGGTATGGGGTACTGTACTCGTACGACAGATGTCGACGCGCACACACTCGAGGCGCTCTTATTGAGCTCCCTGTTTGTTCGTTCGTCTCGCCGGTAGCAATTCCCCTTCCCTCCTCCATGTAATACGTGCAGCAAGGCAGTCCTGCTCCACGCGAAAAGGGAGAGCGGAATAGATTAACTCGCACCCCTTGTGGGCTCCTACCGTATTTGCTCGAGTCGAGTCGATCCAACGGGTCCTCTCTCATTTTTTTTAATCGAACGGGAAGCTCCATTCTGCATATTGTATCATAGGTAGGTGGCCTGAAACGGGAACACCGTACAGTACGCTTACCGTTGTCCGGATTGAAGGGTGTGTGTGCGTGATTGTGATCGTGTGAGGGGGCGAGTGAGAGCGGCTGACGCGAGTGAGCGGGGTCGGTCGAGTGAGGGAAAATGCGTAGGGTAGGGTGCGGTAACGCTTGTCTGTATTTCTTTCCTTTTTTTTCTCTTTTATGATATCTCTTCATTTTCATTTTCATTTTTCCCTTCCTTCTTCCTCGGTGGATGGGTGGGGTTGGGGTTGTGGCAATAATACTTGGTCTTATGGCATGCACTCGTACGAGCGAGAGGGAGAGAGGCTGGGTGAGATTTTGTGAGGGGAGAGGGCCACAGAGTCCGACCGAGTGAGCCTGAATCCGGGAAGGGGGGAGTGGAGCGATGGGGTTGGGTGAATGTATGATGGCACCTCGTGTGTGGTATACAATATGTGTGTGAAGGATGTGATCAAGAGTGGGTCGAGTGGATGATAATTGCTACGAGTGATGATGATTACCACTATGATGATGATATTCCTATCCTCCGGGCACGGCGATTAAGTTGAATAGATTGGGATGGGAATGTTTGGATGGATGGAGATAGTCCAGGAATTGGAGATATGAGTGACGGCGAATGACGCGTGGCGCATGCATTTTCTCTCGCTCTCGCTCACTTTCCTGCCTTTTCCCTTCCCATCTTCCTATCCTTCTCTCCCCTCCCCTCCCCCCTCTCCCTCTCCCTCTCCCTCTCCTTCTCCACCATTCCCCCCCCCCCATCCGTCTCCCCTTAAAAAAGGAAAGGAACACTGAACCAAACAAATCTCCCTCCGCACAAAGAAGGGACCAAATTTCGTGAAGGGAGGAGGGGGCTCTTTTTTTTTTACTCGTTGTTTTTATTAGTTTGCCTGGATCGCTGGCTGTTCTGCTCGTCTGCTTGGGGAGAAATAGCGTACAATCTGAAGCAGAGGAAGAGGCAGAGGAGGAGGAAGAAGAAGAGGAAAGAGGAAGAGCTCGCCGTACCTTTCCCATCATCCCCCTAGTAACCCTGCCTTACTGCCACATCCACTCTCGCCTTTTTATTCCCTTTCCCTCTTCCATCTCCCGCCCCCTCCTCCCTCTCTCCCCGAAAAATCACTCGCCTCGCTTGATCTCACTCAACATCTCACCGATTGAAATTTCCCCGCCTTTTTCCCCCCTTGCTACTGCTATCATACCTATATCAATACTCTTCGCCAGTTTACGTGGCCACTACAATTCTGTTTAACTCGATCCATTCTATTCGTTCGTGTCGCGGTTTTTATCCCCTTGCCCTCACTCGTGTGCTTTCTCTTCTTCCTCCTTTTTTATTATTATTATCATTATCGTTGTTGTCGTTGTTATTATCGCTGTTTCTTTTCGAGGAGGAAGGGTGAACTCGTCTCTGCGAGCCGAGTCGAACGGGGGTTGTCATCGCCTCTCACTCTTACCCTTCCCCCAAATTTTTTTTATTCCCTTTTCCCCCACTCGTTTTCCTTTTCCTCCTTGACGCTTTTTTTGCCCTCCGCACCCGCTCGATCTACAAATAACGCTTCCCCCTCACTACCCACCCTCCACCTCGTCCTTCCAACCATCTCAAACCGAACACTGGTCGCACTCATGGCCTCTGCGGTCCCTGCCACCACCACCACCACCACCACCACCACCATCTCCTCTTCCGTCCCCGACACCAACAACAGCAACAACACCGCCAACGCTATCGCGGCTCCTTCATCCGCCAACGCACCCATCATGGAGGATAATCCCGCCCCGGCCCCGGTTGCGCCAATCGCCCCACCACCCGCCAGTCCTCCCGCTCAACCCAGAGAGCCCGCGTCCTCCCGCTCTGTCAGTCCGAGTGCTAACCTGATGACCGGAGAGAACACAACATATCACTCGCCCTCCGCATCTGAGTACGAACCGGAATCCCCACCCCCTCTCCCGCCGCTCAAGTCCTCGTCTTATCACAACAAGATCCCGAAGACTCCAAAGTTTCGCCAAGTCATTAGTGGTCGTGTAGAAAAGTCTGGCGGCGGCGCTTCCTCTTCCGGAGGCTCCGCCCCGACCACTCCTACCACTACCCTCAAATGTCCTGTCAAGGGCTGCGGCCAGACTTTTACCGGTAGGAATCCGAGACAGAGTCTGTGGCATCATCTCAAGTATTATGCTACTCGGGGACTCCCCGATAAGCAGGATTTCGAGAAGGCGCATGGTGAAGCTCATACTTTAATGAAGGAGGAAGCTGGTATGATCCTTTTCTTCTTCTTTTTCTTTATTTACATCCTCCCCGCACTCCACTCGGGTCTGTTCTAACCGGCCTTTATCGCGAAATAGAGCCCAAGGGAACTCCTGTCGAGCGTAATCGTCTTTCGTCTTCCGACTATAGAAAGAAGAATCCCGAAAAGGCCAAGACCTCCGCTAGGCTCTCCAACTTTAGGGCCCGCGCTAGAAAAAAGGGATTTACTAGTGAGCGGGAGATTGAGGAAAAGGTTGCGATGTGGGAAAAAGAATGGCAGGAAAAACAGGCCAAGGAAGCTTCTGAGGTAGGTGTCCTTTCTGTGTTTATTTGTTTCCTTTACTCGGCCCATCCTCTTATCTATCCTATCGCGGGGTCGTGCTTTGCTAATGCTGTATCCTCCTCCACAGTACTTTTCCGGAATCTTGCTGTCCGCGTTTGAGTAGGAATAAATCGCGCCAGGCTCACGGGGCTCCTGTTATCCTATTTCCCTGTCGATTTACACCCTTCATACTCTATACCATTGTTTACCACTTGTATTCAACCCCCACCTTCTGTAACTTGAATCCTTTTAACTTACACCCTCCCCCCCTCATTGTCTTTTTGCCTTTTAACTCTTTTTTTTTTTTTTTCTTTCCTTTCCCCCCTCCTTTCGTCTTTCATCTCTTCCTGCCCCTTGGAGTCGGTGGAATACTGAGCGTGATGACCATATGGAGAAATTGGCTGCTGATTTCCTCAATGAACCTGCGCTACTGAAGCGCTCTCACAGACGAAGAGAGAACAAATTAAACTAATATCTTGCGTTATTTTCTTATCGGTCGGTCCATAAAATGTATATAGCATTGCGCTGGGAAAAAAACGGCGGGGTATGGAGAAATAGGGGAGTCTTGCAAGTGTTTATTTTCTTTTCTTTTTCCTCATTTAATCTCCTTTTCCGGTTTCCATTTCATCTGTCTGGTGTCCTACTTTTTGTTCCTTTTTATTTTTTATTTATGGGTTTCACGGATACGGTTGCGGGATTGATTGATTGATTCTGTGGATGGATGAGATGATGATGAGCTGGTTATTGCTGCTGCTTTCGTTGACACAATTGAATGTCTGGTCTGATCTGGTCCTTTGCAGCTCCCTGTCGTGGCTTCTTGAGGTGGCTAGCTACCTAACTAGCTTGCTATCTAGGGAGCAAGCAAGCAAGAAAGTAAGGTTACTGTTTCTTTATTTTTCTTCTCGATTCCCCAATCGATTGAAGGTTTAGGGATGATGTGATGTTGTTGTACTGTACTTCTGGCTTTCGCTGTTGGGTTAGTTTGTGTGAGGCTACCTTGCCGTATTATATCTCTTGCCGGTAAATCGTCGTAGAATTGAGGGGTAGTTTAGGGATTGCTCTTCTGAAATTGCTGAGATAGGGAGGGAAGGAGGGGGAAAAAACAAGCGAAAAACAACACTTGATAGATTTAAGGCACGGTATTGGTATGATGCGGTATTTCTGTATGAGTACCGTACTTGTACAGTAAGTACACTTTGCTTCACTCTGCGCGTGTGTTGCACTTTCAGTCACTCGTTCGTCAGACATGCGAAACGCGATAGTGCATGAGTGATTAGGTAATCAGCCGAGCGAGCACGCAAAGCCGCCACCGTCATGCCCTTGACAGCAACAACGCCTTCAGCAACACCTCTTCCTTACTTCCTTCCCTCCCTCCCTCCACCACCACCACCAGTACTCCTCCTACAATAAGAATAACAAGGAAATAAGGATGCCCCCAGCAGGCCCAAAGTCCGACATCAACCGCTCGGGCTCCGAAGTCACGGACTTCCCGGCCGTGTGTAACGACTGCCTCAGCGCAACCGACAACCCATTCATCCAAATGATAAAGGAGGATCACGGCATGGAATGCAAGATCTGCACGAGGCCCTTCACCGTCTTCCGCTGGGCCGCCGATCGTACCTCCCGTTTCAAGAAGACAAACGTACCTAACCCCCCCCCTCGCCCCCCCCCATCCCCGCCTCCGATGACTAATAATCGAAGCAGATATGCCTGACGTGCGCCCGCCTAAAAAATTGCTGTCAATGCTGCATGCTGGATTTATCCTTCGGCTTGCCGATTGCCGTGCGGGACGCAGCGCTCAAGTTGGTGGCACAGGGGCCCAGTTCGGGGATTAATAAGGAGTACTACGCCCAGAATGGTGAGGGCGCGTTGATCGACGCGCAGGTGCCGGAGGAGTACGAGAAGACGGACGATCGGGCACGAGAGTTGTTGAAGAGGTTGGCTGGGAGTGAGCCTTATTACAAGAGGAGGCGCGGGGGCGGGGGTGGTAACAACGATGGGGAGGGGTCTCGTGGGGTGGGGCCTATTAGGAGTAGGGGCGGTGGAAGTGGTAGAGGTGGAGGCGGAGGTGGTAGGGGAAAGGGTGGAAGGGGCCGTGGAGCCCGCTTCCCCGGTGTCGGTCAAATCCCCCCGGGACCAATGGACTGGGCTCCCCCGGAAGATACTACGATCACTTCTTTGTTTCTCACAGGGTACCCCCTCCCCCCTTCTCCCCTTTGTTTGTTTTTGCCCCGCAATACAACTAACAAACCGCTAGCGTGGAAGATGACCTTGCAGAGCACCACCTACGAACATTTTTTGCCCCCTACGGCCCCATAAAGTCCATCGTGTGCGTCCACCGATCCCGCTGCGCATTCATAAACTTTACCACCCGCGCCGCCGCCGAATCCGCCACCGCAGCGTGCCAGGGCAAGGCCGTTGTCGCCGGGTGTCCTCTACGGGTGCAATGGGGCCGCACAAGGCCGTTGGGGAATATGGATCGGGGGCAGACTGCTGCAGTGGTTCGGGATGTGGGCCCTGCTGCTGCTGGTGGTGTTGGGGGAGAGGAAGAAGTGGCGGATGCCGGAGACGTGGGAGGGCGGGAGGGTGGGGCAAGAGATGCCGGGGAGGAGATTGTCCTCGCTAGACCCCCCGGGGAGGATGATGTTGTGTATCCTTCGCAGGTGGGGAGTTGAAGTTTGGATGCGATGCGATGAGAGAGGGTTTTTTTTTATATATTACTTGTACTATAATTTCATCATGTTTTTTATTTTCTGTTCATTTTTCGTTCCCTTTCTTTTTACTTGAGGGGTGCGTCATATCAATCATAACATAATTCGAATCTGCTTTTTCATGCCAGGTTCTCCTCCGCTCCTCGTGATATGATACTACCCGCTCACCCAGAACAACACTTTCCCTCACCAACCTTGACACTCCCATTATCCCCCCTCTCAGTCTCATCATGAATCCTCAACCCTGACCTCCCCGCCTCCAAATCAGCCTCTCTCTCGGCCGGTAAAAAAAAAGTGAAAAAAAAACTCACGGAAAACCCCAGACTCCCCACCACTTCCTCCCTCCATGACGCCCTGAACCACATTCCTCCTCAGAATGGTGGCCGTTTCCAGCGCGAGGCGCACGCCCTCGTCCCTTCCCGCCGCCGGCGTGTGCCGGAATTCCCGGCGGATCTTGGTGCGCGCTGCCGTCAGTGTTCGCGCGTCGTTGGCAAAGGCGAGGCGTGCAGCGCGGAGGAGTGTTAGGTAGGCTTGCCGGGGTGTCGGGTGTAGTTGTGACATTGTGTCGTTTGTCGGTGTGTGGTGTGGTGGTGTACCGTACTAGTAGTGGGGCTGGATTGATGGGTTTGTGGATGGGGGGGCGAAGGGATGAGAGGGAGTGGCGGTGGCTTGGTGGTGGGTTAGGGTTGTGGACCGGAACTTTGTGTGTGGATAGTATTCGTGGGGGAGTTTTGGCGGAGGTGGGGGGGGGGAAATGGAATGTTTGTGTTCATGGAGTGTCACTCGGGAGGAAATTCGAATGCTAAAGGATCTGCAGCTACGAGTTTGGCTTTGTGATTGTTTTTTGTTTTTGTTTTTAAACCGGGTTGGGGTTGGGGTGCTCAGGTACCGATAGAACGTTGGTGGAGATTCATGTTGAAAGAAGCTCAATATTGTTTCCACAAATGGGGGGGGGGGAAGCAGGCGGGAAGGAGGCATCTACCACCCAATTCTCTCTCACCCCACCTTGACGTTGTGTCCGGATCGCATTCTCATCATATAGGTGTGTTCCTGGAGCCTGATATATATGGGGAGGGTGGGGGAAGCTGCGGTCAAACGTAGACCGTAGACCGATTATCCTTCACTTTCCAAAATAAGCCCACTGTCGGCCAACATAAAGTACAAGTACAGTACTTTGCATTTTGAACCTTCCGATCAAATGGGTATGATAGAATAGAAACGGCACTGGAACTACCGGCCACGGGTATCTACCCGACCCTTTTTTTTTTCCTGCGCGGTGGGATTCCGGCGATCCGCGTCCGGCGCTTTGTCCTGCGGCATTTTTTATTTATTCCTCGCCGAAACCCGTCTGTCTTTCTTTCTCGCCGGGTACCGACCGTGGGTGAAGATGTTCTTTACCCGCGCGTGCAAGTGCTCTATTGCTAAAAAAAAACCTTATTTCAACTTTGGCGGAGGGCATGGAGTGCGCGCGCTATTACGGAGGAGGGAGGGAGGTGCGGGTTCGGTAGTATGCCGTGAGTACCGGTATTCTATCTGCACTCCCCAGAGGCGTAGTGAACCGAAGGCTGGTTGGAATGGAGGGAGGGGCGGGCCCGGTGGGGTAAGGTCAATAAGCTTAAAAACAGACTTAATCTCGGGTGAACTAGGGACGGGGCCAGGTTTCGGAGGCCGTTGTGCGGGAATAGTGCACTCGAGTATTGTACCGGCGGTTTTGAGCAGATAATATCATGCTGTGGAAATATGGGTTTGGTATTTAACTTATGTTGACTTGGTGCTCGCGCGAGCAAGGCTGGAGCGTCTTGGACATGCTGCCGTATCGTAGAGTGGTCTATGAAGTTGGGGGGATAGGCTGCGAAAGGAATTTTATCCAGCCGAAATTAAACATTGCCCTGCAAGGGGCCATGCAATGGGCCGAAGGACCTATCCCAAACCATGATACTTGGACGGTAAGTGGTGCAACCGATGGACAGTAACTTAGCCCCCATCCCAACTCGCCGGGAGGTATGATACAGTATTGTACTCGTACTGTACGAGTGCTGTACGAGTACATTATGGTACATACCGGGTCGCATGGAGGATTTAGCTTCCGGCAAGAACGTTCTACGGTGCTGCGTAGAACATTCACTGACGTCTTTAGAGCTACCGTAGTGACATTGTACTGGGCGGGCTGTCAGCTTTGGAGACCCGTCGGGGTTTGGTCCAGTGTGATCTTGGGTGCCTGGATTGTGGCCATCTCAAATGTCAAAAGGGATCAAGCCACCATTCGCCTCGGAGAACCCCACAAATTGTGGGCTGATGTCTTGGCAATATCCATCTCTTAGGTTGGCCGTCTCCATAATGTGGCCTTTGCTGAGCCTTTGATAAGGCTTCTGATATGCGCGGGCAATTGCTCCTCCCGCCTAATGAGCTCCAGAGCAAATTGTGACTGAATACTATAAGCATAGCGAATGCTCACCGTCATGTGAAGGTGTTGGGATGGAGAATGAATTACATTTTGCAAATCGTGACTTTAGTCGGGGCTCTAGTGTTGCTTAGCATGGATGACTTTGATACACACTATCTATCGTATGTGGGCCTTATCAGAAATGGATCGGAGGAGCTCCCTAACCCTGTTCCTAGGGGCTAGCCCAGGCCTTTCATAATACCGGAGGCACAGTGGCCCCAATCCATTTCCCGGCTGTCATGCGGCTCTCCAGTTATGGTACTTGTATCATTCCTTTTGATTCATTGGAATTTTCATTTGAGCGCTGCGAGTGGTAAATGCTTGACGAGAAAAACAGCAAACTGTGGGGAGTAACGTACCTCGTGATTCCCGAAACGGGTTGAACCAGATGTTGACTAGAGATACCCAATTGAATCAGACCGATCAGGGATGAAGGCGAAGTAGCGTCCAGCACGGGCATAGAATGGGTTACTGTACCTAGTACTAGCGGACCGGGTAAATGTTCATCATCGGATTCATCGAGCAGCGGTGGCAGGCTGCATGGTACTGCAAACTTACCTACTGTAGAACTGTTCGGGAGTTCCAGTGTCTCCTTGAGGAGCTGATCCTAGATGCTCGCGCCTCCATGTCCAAGAACGGGGTGTGATAACTCACTGTAAATTGCCGAGAGGGCAAGACCCCCGCAGATATACAGTAGACTCTGAGGGCTCTATTTGAAGGGCACGAGACGGAAGAGTTGCCCCCTCCCCTCCTAGTACAGGGCACAGTATCGGTCCCAATTCAGCTTCAATAGCTTTCCCTTTTCGGTAAATGCTCTCGTGAGTGCTATGGTATTTACCGGGTTGGAGGCAGCTGTATCCAATCACAAGACCAACCCGTGAGATTATCTGTGCGTATCCGTCAACGGGGTTTTTGGCACCCGAGTTGAAAGAGTCCACCACTTGGTTAGGGGTTGAGCCAGGGCCAACTGACGATGGGGCGGCTGCGTGGCCAGTGGCCCTACTGCTTTGCAGGTAACCATGTCCTCTGCCACCTGTAGAAAGTAATTTAGTTATCGGGAGGAAGGTGTAGACGCAAGGGGGGGGGAGTGTGTGGAGCACAATTAGAGTAGATGGGTGAGATTAGCATATGTGGGGGATGAATGCGGGATGATCAACTAGGTGGACGTGGAAAGGGTGTGTTTTTCCTGATTGTCCACGGTGCTGGGGCAAGCAGGAAGCCCATTATCATCATATGATGTGTGCTCGCACAGCGCCTGTGCCCAATCGTGACGTTGAATGCATCTTCGAGTTGGAGGATGCCAGTGCTCGCACGGAACATGGAGGGCATTGCGGATAGGAAGAAATAAGGGATACAGCCTAACAGGAGAATTTCGCCGCGTACTCGTACAGTATCGTGCTCGCACAGCAACTTCTGAGGGGGCGAGCGATGGGGGCATCAGAGGACCGACGGCCACTTCTCTCCCATCTTCAGGTCTAACTCACCGTATAATTTTTTTGTACCGGATTTCGGACACCACCCACCCAATTCGGATTTCAGTGTTCCAGAGTATTAATGCCGGTAGGGCCCCCAACCGGTGATGCTCCATCCGGACCTCTCGCTTAGCGGGAAAGCGTTTCTGGAGGAGGGACACTTTGACCGCAGCTGCAGTTACCGGCATGACGGGGCCAATTAAGTTATCCGGAAGCTTCACGAGTGGGAACCATCATATATATCAGGACCAAAACCGCGTGTACCACATTTCTGATAACACCTTTTTGCTCCTCATCCCTCCCTCCATCCCTCCGGCATTCCTGCAACATCTCCTCCCTCTTCCCCACCTCTGCCTTGAGGGCGCATCTGGAATTCCTCTCCTAGCCCTCCTTTTTTTTTATTGCCCTACCCTCTCAGCCATCTGTCCCTCGCTGCCATTGCCACCCTAGATACACCAAACCATCTCATATAGTTTTTGGACCGTTGGGACAAGCTGGCTTGGTTCTGTTGGTGATTTCGGATGGGATAGCTTCCTAGCCCTTCTCGAGTAGATAGTTTTCATGGTCGGGTGAGTGAAAACTTGTTTTGAGTCCTTTCGCATCGCTTTCCACGCATATATAGATATCTCTTCCGGGATACGGTAGGGGGACTGATCATCCCTGTTGGAATTCTCGCGGCTGCATGTTTATCTCATTTGTAACGGTGTGGTGTGTAAAGTTTAACTGACCAACCGGAGCAATCAGCTCGAACACGAACTTGCTCAGCACAGTTCCATTCACCTGTCCAGATATTTGAGAATACCTCGTCCTGTCGGCAAATCCTGTGCTGTACAACCCGCTTCACGGGAGGCCCGGCGGCAATACCTGTACTGCTTTCCTTGTTGCAGCTATACCGGAGCCTTCCATTAGCGTTACCGTGCTCGACATAGGTCTTGCGCAATTCCTGCCCCATAAGTTAGCTCTCACACCCACCTACATAACAACGCCTGTCTTCCCTTTCCATATCACACCAAGGACCAGTGCACTGATCCCCCCAACCAGCGCATCCGGAGCTTCTCACCAACCTTCCCCCCAACAATTCGTTCGCGTGTATGCTCTAAAATCATTCCTACAATATTGTGCAAATTGCAGTACACTTTGTATCGGTTTCCATTGGTTTGCCCGCCATGAAGTTTGGCAAGTCGTACGTCATTCCGTTTCCTGCTATTGTTGTTTGCAGGGATCTCGAGGAGCCGCTTATCTTTCCCACCACAGACTCCCAAGGAACCAGGTTCCTGAGTGGTCCTCGAGTTACATAGATTACAAAGGACTCAAAAAACATATTAAGGCTGCTATAACTTGCCAGCGGGCAACGGGAGGAGTTGATTTGGCCCGTGGGTAGCTCGGTTGCATGGCATGCTGAATTCTTGGCTGACTTTGTTTTTTTCGTGATTAGCTTTCTTCTTTGAACTTGACCGCAACCTTGAATTGGTCGATGCTTTCTTTAATAAACGGTTTGCGGAATATCAGCGTCGCTTAACCCTTTTGCATGGTAGATACGACGAGCACTTTGATGGCTTGTTCAACTCCGAGAATGGATGTTTCAAGAGCGAGGAATCCTCTGAACTCTCCAGTTCAGATGGATATGGGTTAGATTTGGATAGAGGCGACCTTGCAGAGCTCTTGGCTGCTCTCCTGGAGCTGAGAAGTGGCCTTAGGAAGCTGCAATGGTATGCGGGTGAGTAGCGTGCATGCTCCCGAACACCTGATTTTACCGGTTTCCAATGTTCGGTACTGATGATTGGTTGTAACAGAGGTGAATCGCAGGGGTTTTGTTAAGATCCTAAAGAAGTAGTTACATCCCAAGACATTTTATTCTGGCCCGTCTGTTACTGACTTTCTCACAGGACTGATAAGAAGACAAATATTTGTGCCCAGCGTCGCTACCTGGACTCTAAAGTCAATACAAAACCGTTCGCTTCGGCGGCTGGTGTTATCTTGGCTATGCAACAGGTTAATCATTGGCTCTCTAAGGTTGGAGGGGCCGAAGCACTTGAATTGGATGGCAGCACACGGTTGGAGGAGTCCAGGATAGAACTGCGGCGCATTGCATCTAATGGCATTGGATCGGATAGGGTCGATAGAGCCGGCCAATGCCTACACGGCGACTCTCCTGCTGGACTCGCTGATGTTATAAGAGAGGTGGAAAAGACTCCTGTCTCCAAGAAGGTCCTTCTCGCTCTTCTACAGCGGGCGATAATATACAAATCTAGGAAATGCATTGATCTGCTTTTGGGTTACATCGATACTCTCCATGAAGAGGAGGACATCAACGACCGTAATGTCATTCACCGCTTGGTGATGTCGATTGGGAGGGGAGAGAAATTGCTTAAGGGGCCTTCTGTCTCACCGGTCCCAGATCCTTTCAATATCAATAACCGGCCAACTCTCCAATCCACAGAGCCGATCTACATTACCCCGGCAGAACCACCAATATCATCACCCCCCATCTCACTCAATACATCTGAGTTGGACGGGACGCTGAGGTTAACTGTCCATGACGAATCCGTAAAGATCCTTGAGTACTTGCTTCAAAGGCTTCGTGTTCAGCAAAGACCAGCACTCGAAGCTCGCGATTCTTATGGGCGTACGCCACTTCACTATGCGGCACAATTCGGATTTGTCGTTGTTTGCCGGTTGATCATCAAGTTCATGCGGCAGTGGGGCCAATTTGATGTTTCGGAAGGAATTGACTCTTTAAGGTGGCAGGACAATGACGGCTTGGCACCATTGCACTTGGCTGTTATGGAAGAACATCCAAAGACTACCCGCATCCTATTGCTATCCGAAGGTTGGGATGGAGAATTAGGTACTAGCGATCGGGTAGTATCGGCAAGGAAAGCTGTCTCAAAGTCTTCCATTGCATTAGCACTTGCCGCAAAAAAAAATGCTTCTGTTATCGTGAAGCTCCTGGTCGAGGCTGGGGTCGATATAAATTATCAGGACGAGAATGGCGAGACAGCCTTGCATCATGCCTCAAGGCTTGGCCATGTTGAGTGTGTCAGAGCTTTGCTTGAAGGAAGCGATACACAACGTGCCGATGTTGAATTAGCCGAAAAGAACTACGGATGGACGCCACTGTTTGTTGCTGCTGTTGAAGGCAAGGAAGGGGTTGTTGATCTTTTGGTTGAGAATGGGGAAAGTGATGTGGACAAGCACGACTTGTCTGGTTGGTCGGCGAAGGAGCATGCAACCCTGAGAGGGCATCTAGATATCGCTAGAAAACTTGCGGAAGTAGGCAACACTTCTGAGACATCGGGGTCCGTGAGCCCGGCTCTCTCCTCGAGTCCATTAACCCCGCCTACTACGGCATCATTGAGCGGATCACTCGGCACTAATGGATCTAACTTTCCTGGCACTCAGTCGCCCCCCGTCAAAAGTTTTGGACATCGTTATTTGAAGGCGGGAGAGGCTATGGTCCTAGTCAGCTTAGGAAGTATGGATACAAGGAAAGATGTCCCGGCAGTTCAGCTGGATAAGATTCCGTTGGCTGAAGCGCATCTAACCCAGTTGGATACGGCGCTCTCCTTAATTGTCTCGGCACAAAACGCAATTGGAGAACCGACAGTTATTGATCTTCCTGTTCATTCTAATATTGCTACAGATGACCCAATTGTTTTTGAAACAAAGGATGTGAGCAAGGTGAAACTCACCTTTGACATTGTTCCTACATATGCGGGATCAAAGGATCAGATCGTGGGCAGAGCTGTAGCGCTTTTGAGCTCGATTAAACCAGAGCTTGGGAAGCGTAGGGTTTCTCTACAAGGCGGCGTACAGGTACCGATTCTTGGCGCTAACTTGGAGATCATTGGCTGCTTGAATTTCGAGTTCATGATCGTCACCCCATTTTCCCACCCTAACATGGAAATTACTAAGCAGCAAACCTACTGGAAGAGTTTGGCAATACCGAGAGTAAGTTATCTCGGCTTCTACGTTCAAATAAATCCTAATAATGTTTCATAGGTTATTGGGCATAGAGGTGATTGGGCTCTATGAATTTCCCCATTGTCGAGGCGGCATTTACCTAACCGTACTGCGAAGGTCTTGGGAAGAATTTTCCAGCCCGTAAATCTCTGCAGCTTGGAGAGAACACCATTCTGGTATGTCCATAGGATACGGTGCTGGAAATTCTATTAGCCGGGCCTATACTGATTTATTGCTCAGTCGTTTATCGCGGCGGCAAACTTGGGTGCTGAGTACATAGAGGTATGGACACAACGACCCCAAACTTCTTGATAAGTGCTAACAATAATTTCTAGTTTGGTAGGATTACTCTGGATGGGGTTTAAAGTTGATATTCCGGTTTTGCTGACGTTAACTTCAAGATGTTCAACTCACAAAGGATCATGTGCCTGTGATTTATCACGACTTTCTGGTAGGAGAGACTGGGATTGACGCCCCTCTGCACACCTTGACACTCGAGCAGGTACTTTCCAAGTCCTAGTGCAGTTGGGGATCAGGAATTTATTAACATGGTTAGTTCATGTCAATGAGTCGTCAGCCAACTCATCGGTCTAGGAAGGGCTCCCCCGAGCGTGTTACGAATGGGGGCCGAACACCGGGCGAAAATGGGACTCGTGAGGGTGTTTCTCAGCACACCCTTCGGAGGCATAGATCCATGTCGTTACATGATGAGCATGATACAACCCAGGCGGATTTTGAAGAACGCATGAAGCATACCAGAGCCTTTAAGTTGTACGGCTTCAAGGGAAATAGCAGAGGTACTAGCATCTCTGCACCGTTTGCCACCTTGGAGTCGGCTTTTAAGGATATTCCGGTTGGCACTGGTTTTAATATTGAGCTGAGTATGTGATATTGCCCCTGTGAGGGCTTTGATTTGCACTAACCACATGACGCAGAGTATCCGATGCTCCAAGAGAGCGAGGATCAGGACATGGATAATCTTGCTATTGAGATGAACTCCTGGGTTGATAGTGGTAGGGTTTCTGACTGTGAGCAAAACTGTGCTAGTCCGTGTTGCTAACGACCATACAGTATTGAAGGTTGTTTACGATCACGCTAATGGTCGCGACTTGATTTTCTCGAGCTTCAACCCAGACATCTGCCTGTTGCTCTCACTGAAGCAGGTATGTTAGGCTCAACAGATATTTTTTTTGAAGAATGGCGACTTTGTGCTTACTTTTTGTCTCAAGCCGTCGATCCCAATTCTTTTTCTTACAGAGGCCGGGACTCGGCCACTGGCGGATATCCGTGCTTCGAGCCTCCAGGAGGCAATTAGATTCGCTAGTAGGTGGAACCTTCTTGGGATCGTTTCGGCTGTCGAGCCATTAGTTCTTTGCCCCCGCTTGATTAAAGTCGTCAAGGAATCCGGGCTTGTATGTGTGACATACGGGGTTATGAACAACCTTCCAGCAAACGTTAAGGTGAGCTGGCCAACTTTACCAGATTACCCGTGAGACAGCTTTACTTACTGTGTGATTTTAGTTGCAAACTGAGCAAGGGGTTGATGCTGTTATTGTCGACAACGTCCTTGCGATTAGAAAAGGGCTTACTCACGAGGAGAGGAATCTGCCTGAAGTGTCTTAAATTAGGCTAGCGAATCTTTGTCCTTTTTGGACATTTATTTTATTCATTTCTCTCCGCTCTACTTGAGCTGTCATGTGTCCTTGCTTCCTCTTGTTTTTCTAAATTCGCTCCTCTTAGGCCAAGGTTTGGGGGTCCGAAGTCTGGACATTATCAGACTGTTCAAATTCTTCCTGCTGTCCTTCCCTGGGTGCTTTGTTTCTTTTATCATGGATGGTTGTCATTCCCGCGCACAGGCTGCACTGCGGGTAGGTTGGATCTCTGCTCGTCATTAGGTTGTGGGGGGTTTTTTTTTCGGGGGGGGGGGGGTGAAATTGACAACACAGGACTTAGTGGGGGAGGTCATGGCGGGCGCGGTTGCCTTTTTTTCCCCTTGTTCGTGACATTCATTGGTGTGAGGCTCGCGAGAGGTCATTTTGCGGCCACCGGAGAAGGGGGTGATAGTCGGCAGGTTCCTTGACGCTTGTCAGCTTTAGAACTTCCGAGCGTGTCTTGGTGATTTTCGAGTGACAGGCGGTGACTAACTTAGTGATACCTTGGGGAAGGGTTGAGGGATTGAGCATTGGTCTTGATACTAACGCCTTTACGTGCTTTAGATTTGTATTTCTATGTCTTTGAAAAATGGCAGGAAGTAGGGGGACTTTTCCTTGAATGATGGCTATAGAAGCTTCGGATTTTTGGATCCTATCATCTAGGCGTTCGGGAGTTATGCGGTGGGGTGGCCTCACTTGATGACCAATGGTTTAGCTACTATGACGAAAGGAGATGCAGATATTATAGATTCCTTCTGTCAATAGGGTTTGCGATGCACTTCTACAACCCTGGGCGCCGGTTTGTTATGCTGAGGGGAGGAATTGATACTTTGCTGTACAATAGTGGGCGATGAGGACCAGGGATGTTACGTGAATAATAACGTATTTGGGGGTGTTATGGGTCGCCACCTAGTTATGGGTCACCCTCATTATAGCTTTAAGGGCAAGAAAATTGACAACCACCACTCTACAACTAGTTCAAACATGTTTATTTTTGAAAGAGTTAGTGAAATTGGCTCAGTTTGTACATTTATAAAATAAAAAATCCTAGTCAAACAATCTCCACTAGAGAGGCCCATTAGTGATATGTCATGATTTATTTATTATATGGTAGAGAACAAGAACTAAAAGTAGGATTCTAGCAGATCTTTTTGTCTGAGTACAAGTAGAGATAAGTATTGCTGAGATCTCAAGTGAAAAAAATTGGATCTGCACTCTTTTCAGTTTAAGCAATAGGTTCAAAAATAGTATAGTATTGGAAAATATGTAACTTTAAGTTCTTGCTATTTATTAAGGAGCATATATATATCTTGTAGTTCTATTAACTCATATCTTTAAACATAGATTGTTTGGTATATTCTGTTTACTTTGCTGCTATATAGATTGAATAGAAATTTCTAATACTATTTAAGTATTCTGTTCTTTTCCAATTAGTATGTTTTCCTCTTATTAACTCTTAGAAATCAAGTTCTACAAATCTTGCAAAGTTTATAATATGCAGAATTGCCTTTCCCCTTACTTGCTAGTAGTCTTTATTCTAATACATTACTGCTCAAAGGCTTTGAACTGTTAATATACTTAAAATCATAAAAGAAAATTCATTGTAGGTATATTTAAAAAATTGTATCCTTATGAAGATATAACTACTGTTTAATATATCTTGGTTATAACTATTGTATCTTAAGTACTACTATTTCTGAGCTATATGATATATTTATAATAAAATATCTTCAACTATTTCTAGTTTTTTTTTAATAATTGGAAAATTGCCAAATTCTAAGGGTACAACATCTATATAGTCAATATTATAACTCAAGTTAGCTTCCTAGCTCTATTGGAGCTTGTTATATTATTCTTGAGTAAATGTAGCAAAGTGACCATACTTGAACCTGTCAGTAAAACTGATAGTTTAACAAATACTAAAACAAAATATCACTACCTCCTATCAATTGAAAATCTTGGTTGCAGAAACAATTAAGTAGTATTCAGGAGTCAAGTATTAGTTACAAGGCTACTGATTACTAAAAAATAATATGATTTATAATTTGAGTGCTTGCGGGGGAACATTAGATGTCAGGTAAGAAGAAAAGAGACTCTGAAGTAGAAA